ACGTTTATTAGTTTCTTGAGGCACAGCACATGCCAAGGTGACAGGGCTTATGTCCCTGTTCTGTTTTCTCTGAGCCTCCTCAGAATTCTTGTTTCCTTTCTCCATAATGTTTCTGAAAAATGTTTAAATACTGATGAAATAAATCCAAGAAGATCTAAATAAGTTTTTTAAAAAAATACAATGTTCGTGGATTAAAAGACTCAACACAGGGGGGCCGGCCCGGTGGCGCAGCGGTTAAGTTCGCACGTTCCGCTTCTTGGCGGCCCGGGGTTCGCTGGTTCGGATCCCGGGTGCGGACATGGCACTGCTTGGCAGCCATGCTGTGGTAGGCGTCCCACGTATAAACTAGAGGAAGATGGGCACGGATGTTAGCTCAGAGCCAGGCTTCCTCAGCAAAAAGAGGAGGACTGGCAGTAGTTAGCTGAGGGCTAATCTTCCTCCAAAAAAAAACAAAAACAAAACAAAACAAAAAGACTCAACACAGGAAAAAAAAAAAAAGAAGCCAGTTATAAAAACAAAACAGAAAAACAGATTGATCATATGGACTACCTTAGAATTAAAAAGCTTTTTCATCAAGAAAGTGAAAAGATGGGGCCGGCCTGGTGGTGCAGCGGTTAAGTGCGCATGTTCCGCTTTGGCAGCCTGGGGTTTGCCGGTTCGGATCCCGGGTGTGGACCTACGCACCACTCATCAAGCCATTCTGTGGCAGGTGTCCCACACAGAAAATAGAGGAAGATGGGCACAGATGTTAGCTCAGGGCTAATCTTCCTCAAAAAAAAAGAAAGAAAGTGAAAAGATAGGTCAGTGTGGGAAAAAAATTTGCAAAACATCTAATCAACAAATGATTTGTATCCAGAATATATAAAGAATTCATACAGACTAATAAGAAAAAGACAACCCAATAGAAAAATGGGCAAGAGACTCGAATAAATACATTACTAAACTCTCAAATCCCAAAGAAGAGATCCAAATGGCCAATAAATATATTAAAAAGTGCTCAACTTTACTGATAATCAAGGAAATGCAAATTAGAACCACAGCTCAATACCACTCCACCTCTAGAATGGCTAAAATTACAAAGTCTTGACAAGACCAAGTATTGGTGAAACTGTGAAACATCTAGAATTCACACAGAAACACTGATCGGGGGGCTGAAATTGAAGCGTGTTTGACAGCATCTACTAAAGCTGAGCCCAGTGACCCAGCAATTCTGCCACTGGGAATTCCAAAGCATGTCCCGACAGAAATTGTGCACCTGTGCACCAAAAGATAGTACCCATTAGCCCAAAGAGGAAACAATCCGCACGTTCATCGACGTGTAGAGTGGGTAAGTAGGTAGTGATTTTTGTATAAGTGAGTACCATATGGCAATGAAAATGAACTCAGTTATGTGCACATGGGTAACATCAGGTGAAACAAGCCAGTCACAAAACAATACAGACATTTATGTAAAATTCAAAAAACAAGCTAGATAATCTGTGGTGTTGGAAGCCAAAAGAGTGGCTCCCTATGGGACGTAGGGCGTGGATAGCGATCAGGAAGGAGCATGAAGAGGGCTTCTGGGATGCTGGAAATGTTCTCTTTCTTGATCCAGGTGAAGGTTATAAGGATGTGTCCCTTTTGAGATAATTCAATGAGCTATTATCCACTTATGATTTGTGTACTTATTAATATGTGTGTTTTATTTCAATAAGATTTTTAAAAATATTTCTGTGAGTCACCTGAGAATGGGTGCCTAGAAGGGGGCAGTAGGAATGGCAAATAGGTATAAATGAGAATAAATAGGTAGATAGGTGGATGGCAGATAGATAGGCATCTAGATAGGTGGGCGAAACGCGGCCCATGTTAGCAACAGCTCTAGATTTTGTCCTGTCTAATATGGACACAAGTTATAGGTCATTATTAACTTTAAATTGATTACAATTAAATTAAATTAAAAGTTCAGTTCCTCCCTTCCATTAGTCACATTTCAAGAGCTTGATAGCCACCTGTAGCTATCGCCCACCACATTGGACAGCGCAAAATATAAGAAATGTTCATCATCACGGAAAGTTCTACTAGACAGCATCGGTGGCCCTGGACAAGATCTCCTGGAGAAAAGAAGGAGCGAGAGAAAGAAGCAGAGGAAGAGAATCTGAGAACCATCAATGCTAAAGGGGTTCTTGTAGGAAACAGACCAAAGTAACACAAGAGCCAGAAGAAAGGGACGTCACGGCAGGCCAGGCGTTAGAAATGTCCAAGGTGAAAGTGTTCACGACAAATGTTACAGAGAAAGAGCTAGAACCAAGTGACCAATGAGAGGTCACTGGAGAATTTAGCAAAACAGTTTCAATGCACATGGAAGTCAGATTGGAGTGGGTGGAAGAGGGATTGGTGGGGAAGACAGAGGCCAAACGTACATGTAGCAAGACTCAGTGCCAAGCGGCTAAAACAAAAAAGGGGATTTCTGTTAAGCAAGAGAGCAAATAGCCAGTTCCAAAGAAGAGGAATAAAAGAGATTAGTATCTGCTTGGGTTTTCAGTAAATGACTCATGAAGAAAGTGCTGTCTGGGTGCCAGATGTGGAGTTAGCGGGTGGAACGTGGAGAAGGGTGCTCCCAGGGAGGGAACCGTGCGGACAATGGAAGGCGGAAGGCGCAGACATGGAGGATTAGGGCTGGAGGTAATCCTGCCAGGAGTAGGGACTTGCATCCCCAAGGACAGAGAAGCTGAATGTCCTTGAGCCGGGGAGGAACAAGATCAAAATGGAACCTCAGGGAGGTTAGTGGCAGCCTATGCAAGATGGAGGAGTTCACTAAACGGGTGTAGAGACCGCCCCGGCCAGAGCATGAAGGAATGAAGTTAGGAATGGCCAGCAAGAGTGAATTTAGCTGCAGAGAGTAAATTCTCTCCAGCTGTGCCCTGGGTCTGTAAAGCCCAGCCAGAACAGAGGGTCCCAGAGGTCTCACGTGGTACGACCAGGGCAGATCTGCTCCCTGCAGAGCCTGCTGGCAGGGAGAGGCCAGAAGGCTCAGACACACAAACATCCTTATGAGGCGAGGCTGCCAGTGGTGGGGTGGGTGTGGTCTCACTGACCGGAAAGAAGTGTCCCCACAGGTTATCTCGGGATAGCCAGTGGGATTTCTGAGAATAGGTATGACCCGGAGTAAGGCACAGGGTGCGTCATACCACATGTACACACACACCCACAACACACACCCACAGCCTGGGCCTTGAAAGGAATGGAAAGAAGGTCTCAGGGGTGTCAAAACCAGAGTATTAAATTGTGAGATTTCCCACCCCATTTCTGCGGAGTCTGGCTGCAGAAAGCAACGACAGATTTTTGAGGGCGGAAGGCTTCTCTCTGGAGTCAACTAGGGGAGACCCCAAGGCTTAAAGGAGGTTGGGGAGCAGTATCACCCCTAAGGGTTATCCTAATTCTCTGCCCCCTCACCCCTCGTTTCTCTGAGTGTCTCAGACTACAACAGGGGTATCCGACACAGAAGCTTTTGGCATCTTGGTTTGCAATAGCTGTTTCCTCCTCAAGAATCCCAACAGCCCCTCCTCCCAGTCCTTTCCTTCAGGGACCCGGATGCCCCCTCCCCACCCCCAGGCTCCTCAGGGACCCATACACCGCTCGCCTCAAAGCTCCCACTCTCTGTGGGTCCCCCTACCCCTGCCTGTTTGTTGATAACTCTGGCTTTTATCCAGGCTCGTGTTTACTCACTTCATTTTCCTGGTTGACTTCATGTTCCAGTCAACTCTGAGCCTTTATCTCTCCCTCTGAGAACCTGCCCTGGGCGGCGGGTGTCAGAGCCCCCACCCACCCTGGCTGCCCAAAGCTCCAGGCCTTGGTGATAAGAGAGGAGGAGTCGTGGGAGCAGCAGCTGCTGGGGTGTTGTCCGAGATGACACCCAGGCTTTGCAGCTGCTGTTTCCAGAGAAGACTCCCCAGCAAATAATGAGCCCCAAGATTGGAAGGAGGGGAGCAGGGAGTGGGTGGGGCCAGCGCCTCGGGAGGAACAAACTCCATCTCAGAGAGCTCACGCCACCTCTCCGCTGTCTCTTCCTCTGCTCCCCGTGTGTGACCGGGACCTCCCTCTCCCATCCCACGCAGGTTATGGGGGGATGGTGGGCACAGAGTCACCCAAAACCTGTTCAGCCAGTCCCTTCTCAGGCCAAAAAACACCTCTCAGAAAACAAACAAATCTCCAGGAACTGGAAACTGGTGTCTGATTGGAACCAGGAAGCAGGGGCCCACATCCTTCCTGACACACAGCTCCGGTCCCCCGTTCCCTCCCTCTCCCGACCTGGGACCACACCAGAAGAGCCTGCCTCCACTACTGTCCTGGAGGGTGCACAGAGCACCCTCTGGAAGATAACTAGGCCCAGTGAGGCTGGTTTTGATGTTCCCATTTTGCAGAGGAAGTACCATGAGGACCTGTTGAACTGGGGGTGGAGGTCTTGTGTCCCACTCTGCAGGCCTGGGTCAGGCGCTCAGATTCCTGCCCACCGCAGACACCTGCCCTGCCCCCCAGTGGTGGCTGGCAATAGGATACGGGTGGCTGGGGACCAGGGATCAGTTTGTGGGGACTGAGGAGCAGCCAGGACCCGGATGTGGATCCCTTGCTATTATTCCTGGCAGGAGCCAAAGAAAGGAATCTGGCCATCAAACCAGTAAACAAGACCGAATGCCACCTTCCGCCCCCGTTCCCTGCCCCTCGGGGACCCAGGCCCTCAGCACCCTGCTCCCCAGCTGTTTCCCTCAGGGCCACCACCCTTCTAAGACCGAAGTCTCCAGCAGGCAACCACGGCACAGCCGCCAGCTGTTCTCATGTCCCTCCCGGGACCCAGGCATCCAGGCTCGCCCTCTGCCCTTCCCAGAGCCTCAGGATCCCCATTCCACCTGGCCTGGAATTAGCAGCCTCCTCCAGGAAGTTGGCATCATCTGCCTGGCAGGTGGCCTAGGGTGTGGCCTGAGAAGCCAAAAAACCCCACTATATAGCCCAGCCCAGGAGCTAGACCCGCAGCTCCGGGGACCTGCAGGTGAGAGAGGCTGGGGTCCCCTTTGGAAGTGGGACATCAGGTCCGCTACCCTCCCCACCCCACCCCCAGGCCCACTGGACATCCAGCTTCCGTATACAGACACACACTGGCCCTTGGATCCAGCCCACCTCAGCCTTCCTGATGCCTAGGTGGCCCTTGTCCTCAGACTGGACCCTTCCGTCCTCTCCGGGACGGTCTCCAGCAGGAGGGGCAAGCAAGCCTCCTATGACCCCTCTCTTTCTCCTCTGCAGACATGGGTTCCCTGTGGAGCTGGTGGACTCTCTGGGCCGGAGCAACCCTCCTGTGGGGTAAGTCAGACCGAGATCCCATCTATGTCCTTGTTCCAGTCTGGGGAACTCCACCTGCCTGGGCCAGCACCCTCCCTTTGGTGCCCCCTCCAGAGACCCATCTCCCAGTGTCAGCAGTCTAGCTGAGATGGGCAAGGGGCCCCTTAGGTTCTGCAGAGAAATGGAATTCCCCCGTTCTCCTTCTGTGCTGGAGGGAAACAGGTGAAAACCTTAGTCGCCAAATTCAAGTGTGCAAGAATTCCCACTTTCTTGATTTTCTGCAGCTTAGCTAAAGTTTTGACTCTGAGACTCATTCTGCTGAGGTGATGGAAAAAATGTCACTAAAGTCATTCTTGGAGGGCTTGGTACCCAATTCTCCAGGACTAGGGTCTTAGGTAAGACTAAAGTACTGGTGGAAGGATGGAATATCAATCACCAGTCACCCTCTATTTAGGCGACTTTTGAAACATTCATTGTCCTGATCCCTTGGCCCCGTGGGACACTGGGATAATCTTCAAGGCTCCCCTTATTCAGCAGACAAGCTTTTAGTGACCCCCACTCTCTCTCCAAGACCCCTTAAATCGATCTCCCTCTCACTCTCTGTCTCATAAGCCCTAGGAATCTCTTTCTAGTTGGGGGTCTTGAAAAGCCCCCAGTCTTCTCTATTTCTAGAGGACATTTTGTCCACACTCCCATCATCCCTTCCTTTCCTTTACCTACTCTTCACACACCCCGCCCCCCCAAGTCCTACTAACAGAAATCAGGAACTAACAGCTGAATCCAGCCAGTGTGGGCCCCACGGTGCTTCAAACAATTTAGGTTTCGAGATTTCACAGGGAAATTCAGAGAGCCAGTTTCTCTTGAAACATGGTAAGATCTGGCATTAAAAAAAAAAACAGAGCCCACAAACCATCATAATAACAACAGGCTAAAGCTGGTAGCAAGACCCCACTTCCGATGGCGTGTGAATGCGCCAGCTTACACAGTCACCACTCGGATAATTTCGCACATTTATATTACTCGCCTGGCCCCTGTCAGCATTTGAGTTTGAGACCCTCATCCAAAGCGTTCAGCCTTTCGGAAAACAAAAGCCAGACAGGTTTGTAGGTGAAAGCTGCACGGACAAGGAGAAAGGAGAGAGAAGAGAGAGGAAAAAGCCCAAGTTGACATTTCACCTTGTTACCCAGGTACAGGGCAAGGGGTTGGTTCTCTGATGGCAAGGATTGGATAAGTGGACCCACAACTGCGTTTTCTCGTCCCAGGGGTGACGCAGGAGGCCTCAGTGGGCTCCAAGAACACCGAGGGGGAGGAATTCCTCACGGCCTTCCTGCAAAACTACCAGCCGGGGTACAGCGAGGCCTCCCTCCACCTCCTCCTCTCCAGTCTGTCGAACAGCCCCGCCTCAGTCTCCATCCTCAGCCAGGTAGACAGCACCTCACAGGATGTCACAGTGAGGCCTGGGCAGTCAGTCATGGTCAACATTAGTGCCAAGGCTGAGATGGTTGGCAGCAATACCTTCCAGCGTGCGGTGGTGGTCCACTCTGACCGCAGCATCTCTGTGCAGGCCTTAAACGCTAAACCCAACACCGCGGAGGTGACGAGGGTGCAGCCTGCCCGCGCTCTGGGCACCGAGTACTTTGTGCTCACACCGCCTGGCACCTCAGCCCAGAATGTCAAAGAATTTGCTGTGGTGGCTGGGGCAGCGGGTGCCTCGGTCAGCGTGCAGCTGAAGGGGTCAGTGACATTTCAGGGCAAGTTTTACCCAGCGGGCAGTGTCCTGAGTGTGGCTCTGAAGGCTTACCAGGTGGCCCAGGTACAGAGCACCGCTAATCTCTCAGGGTCAAAGGTCACAGCCAGCAGCCTTCTGTGGCCACAGCTGTGTCCAGAAACACACGAACTGCAACCACGTGGTGGAGCAGCTGCTCCCCACATCTGCCTGGGGCACCCACTATGTGGTGCCCACTCTGGCCTCCCAGGCCCGCTTCGATCTGGCCTATGTCGTGGCCAGCCAGACCACGAAGCTGACCTACAACCACGGGGGCACCACCGGCTCCCGTGGGCTCCAGGCGGGTGACTTCGCAGAGTTTGAGATCCAGCCATCCCACCCACTCTACGTGTCAGCAGATGTGGGCATCCAGGTCCTGCTGTTCGGCACAGGTGCCATAAAGAACGGAGTGACCTATGACCCCTACCTGGTCCTGATCCCAGACGTGGCGGCCTACTGCCCCGCCTATGTGGTCAAGAGCATGCCAGGCTCTGAGGGTGTGGCCCTGGTGGTGGCACAGACGAAGGCTGCTGGCGAGCTGAGCGTGGATGGGAGCAGGCGGGGGTCCGAGCTTGTCTGGGCGGCTGTCCCGGGCACTGAGTTCTCGTATGCCGAAGTGGACCTCGGCACTGCTGACGTGATCCACAGGGCCGAGGCCACGACCGACTTCGGGCTGCTCTCCTTCGGGCTGGCCCTGGCTCTGGGCTATGGAACAACAGCTTCCTGCAGCCCGAGTGAGTGATGGGGAATGACCCCCGGCCCTGTCCGCCTAGTGACCCCTTTACCAGCTCTCTCGCTTTTTCCCCTTCCCCACCCAGCTTCTCCTCTGTGGCTTCCTGCCTCCACTGGGCCATCCCTCGCTCACCTCCATCCTCCCTGCTATCCTTCTTTTCCTCGGGGCTTCCCAGCCCCTCCCTACTCACGCCCCCAGGACCCATACTCTAAATACTTAGCAACTGGTGTGATCCAGGGTCCCAACCAGTCCGAAGAGAGGCCAGCCAAAGCACTGTGGCGGGCTCCGAGAAGCCCCCACAGTGTGTGGCAACAGCCTTTCGTCTGTTGCTTTGCGGGGTGGGTGGGGAAGGGATCGTAGGGGAGATCAAGGTGCCGAGAGCAGGGATCTTTGGGGGGGTGGGGATCAGGTCAGCTTCTTACCAACTAGTTTGGAAATATTTTGATATTTTGGCAACTGGTAGACAACTATACCAGTTGCTTACTGCCGCTGTCCCGACACCTCATGTAGAAAAGTTTACGCCCAAACTCAGGAGGTGTCACAGTCTAATAATAACGATGGCTGCCATGTTGCAATAGACCAGGGAGCAGTCTAGGTGCCTCGTGTGTGTTAACAGAGTTCATCTCTAGGACCTGGCCCTATGTGTCACCCTGGGGCTCAGCACGTTGAGGAGCTGCCCGCAAGCAGGGCCACGTGGTATTTGCGGGAACAGATACTAAAGCCAGACTTCCCAGGGTCCCATCCCACCTCTGCTTGTGTGACCTTGGGCGTGTGACTTCACGTCTGTGGGCCTCAGTTTCCACATCTGTGAAGTGGGGAGGATAACAGCAGCCCTCCACAGGGCTGCAGGGAGGGTGTAATGAGGTGACATCTGGCAAGTGGGTAGGGCTATATAAAGGTGAGCTGTTACACGAGCAGAGAGAAGGCACGAGCTTTCGAAGTCTGCGAGACGGGGGGAAAGAGCTGTTTCTTCCTGTGTGGACCCCCACCCTCCAGCTAGGGCCGTAGACACTAGGGTTTCTCACACTCCCACCCTCAGGGGCGTGGAAGCCACCCAAATTCCAAGGGCCACTTTGGGCTTGAAGAGCAGAATGGCAAAGGTGTAGGTGATCATTGTAACAGGTAACACTCAGTTAACACCTGGGGGCTATTCCAAACCCCACTGATGTTTTAGCTCATTTAAACCTGGCCAACACCCCCTCCCCAAGTGTCCCCGTGAAGAGGGTATTATTACCATCCTCCTGTTACAAATGAGGAAACTGAGGCACAGAGAGTTTCAAATTACTGGTCCAGCATCACACAGCTAACTGGTTGAGCCAGGAGTCCAACCTAGGCAGCCTTTCCAGCTGTTGAACAGTCTCTGTCTTCCATTTTCTGTGCTTAAAAAAGATCCCTTAGCCTTTTGACCTGAGTGGGTGGTAGGGGAGAGGGGAAACAGAGAGAAAAACCAGAAATGAGCATTTCCATGCTTGTTCCTGCCTGTCCTTCTTCACTCCCTTCCAGTTCTTCTGATGAGTCAAAAGACCTGGGGTCGGGCCAGGTCTGGGCGGCTTTCTCTCTGTGAGGTTCCAAACCTCAGTTTCCCCACTTCTAAAATGGGCGGTTGTGGGTGAACTGCCCAGACTCCCCACGAGGGGGAGCTCCAGGACTCCCACCGAGCGGGACACTCCTGACTCTGTTGCCACCCGTTTCCCTCCACAGCCGGACTGTCGGTGGAGCAGCCGTCCTGCCAAGACGTGCAGTGTCCTCCCGGGCAGCAGTGCCAGGTGTCCGGCGGGCAGGCCAAGTGCGTGGCGGTCCCCGTGTCCACCTGCCGCGCCCAGGGTGACCCCCACTACACCACGTTCGACGGCCGTCGCTATGACATGATGGGCACGTGCACGTACACGATGGCGGAGCTGTGCAGCAGCGACCAGACCCTGCCTGCCTTCAGCGTGGAAGCCAAGAACGAGCACCGGGGCAGCCGCCGCGTGTCTTACGTGGGCTTCGTCACCGTGCGCGCCTACAGCCACTCGGTGTCGATAGCCCGCGGGGAGGTTGGCTTCGTCCGGGTAGGTATCCCAAGCCTGAAGGTCAGGCCCCAAACGTGACCCCTTTGCCATGACGTGGAGGATGCAGAGAAGTGGGCCAAGGCAGTGGGGCCTGGGGAGGGGGCTGTGAAAATCCGCGGCAGAACCTTAAAGCCCTTTGGTCCAACAATTCCGCTTCTAACCATTTGAAGGATGCTCAGAGGTATGGTTGGGGGAAAAAAGTTTATGGCAGTGTGGTTTATCACAGCAAAAGAAAGGAAGCAAAATGCCCAGCAATGGGGAATTTCTTAAAGGACCAAACACTAAATTTAGTGAGCCCCAGATTGTGCTGAATTCATTTCTTCACACTTTCCATGTAGTGATGCATTTAATGCTCCCAGCAATCGGTGGGGTAAGTGTTACTATTATTAACACTCTACGATGAGGAAACAGAGGTCCAGAGAGATGAGTGACTTCCCAACGGCTTAGAGCTAGTAAGATGGCTGGCTCCTGAGTCCCGCTTCTTAACCTCTAGGCCGTTCTGCCTCTGGTAAATGGATTACCACTCAACTGATACAAATAACAGCCTGGAGCAATGATTTCCCTTTTCCCAGCATGTTATTATGAAAACATGAAAAGACCCAGAAAGGCTGAAATCCTTGTACAACAAACGCTCAAATGCCGGTCACCCAGATTCTGAACATTTCGCTCTTCTTGACTAATCGCACGCCTATCGTCTGTGCATCCCTCTGTCCGATCAGCAATCCCTCTTATTTTATTTTATTTTTTTTTTTGTGCTTCAAGTAAGTTCCAGACATCGGCACACTTCACCCCTAAAGACTTCAACATCCCTATCATTAACTAGAATACGGTATTTTTACACTTCTTTTTGCTCACTTTGGAGGTAAAGCTTATGTATTATAAAACCCACACATCTTAAGTGTACAGTTCACTGAGTTTTGACAAATGTGCCACCCAAGCCTCCATTAAGATAGAGAATATTTTCATCATTCTAGAAAATTCCTTCACGCCCCTGCCCAAACTATCCCCAATCCACCTCTAAAGGCAATCACAGTTCTGATGTTTGTCCACCGTAGATTAATTTTGCCCGTTCCAGAACTTCTTATTAATGGAACCATACGGGGTATGAAGGCTTTGTGTAAAGCTGCTTCTGCTCAGCATGATATATTTGAGGTTCTTCCACGTTGCTGTGATTAATATTTTTTTAATAGGTAAAGCATTCACATAGCTCAAAACAAAAAGGGCCTCTTGTGAAAGGTCTTGCTTTCACTACTATCTTCATCTGCTTTCCCCTCCACTCTTCACAGTGGATTTTTACTGATTTCTTGAGTATTCGTCTAAGGTTTCTTTATGCCAATACAAGCAATTATAAACATACGTTCTTAGCTCTCCCCTTTCATAGCAAAGGGACCTGTACCACGTGCTCTGTCCTGAACTTTGCTCTGGCACCGAACAGTAATTCTGGGGCTCTTTCCGTATCAGTGCAGAGGGAGCCCCTTCTTTCTTTTTCACAGCTGCCCCGGTCCCCATTGGATGGAGGCATCATAGCTCATTTAACTCAGTTCCCTGTGGATGGACACTTGGTTTGCGATGACAAACAGTCCCTAAGTGAATATTCTTGCCCCTCCCTCATTTTGTGAGCATGCAGGTGGATCTGTGAGATTAATAACCAAGTGGATTAATGTATTTGTTCTTGAGATCTGGAGGGGCTGAGCACGAACTCAGGGGAACTTCAAATCCTGTGAAATCACGTGCAGAATTTTGCACATGCTGTGCAGTTTTTCAGGGAGAGGGTCCATCGGCTCTTGTCAGATCCTTATAGAGAGGAGTGACTTGACAAATGTTTAGAGCTCCTGGTAGAATCGTGACAGGTGGTCCACAAGACGTTGTGAGGAAAAAAGAGGAGTTCATGGAATGGTGGCTTCAGCATGGTATCGTTATAAAAAAAAAAAAAAGTATAAATGTATTTAAAGGTGGGAAAAAAAACCTGGCAGGGATTTATAAACATACGTGTGTGTGTCTACAGCCATGTGGACAATTTCTCTTCTCCCGTTTTTTGCTCACGCGCAGTTTCTAAGTTTTCTGTAATGAACAAATATTACTTGTGTTGTTTAAAAATGGAGATCAGTGGTCTAAAGGGAGAGACGGATTTGCCAGCGGTCCCTGGCCTGAGAACCCGTGAGCATGGGGCTCTGGGCTGTCTCGGTCCCTGCTGTGTCGCCGGCACAGCCCGGCACAGACCTGGACACGCAGGAGGGCTCGTGGAGGCGTTGCTGACTGAACAAATGAATGAACGATCTGTCTTACCTTCAGACTGTTGCTCATGCTGTCCCCTCTGCCTGTTACTCCTTTTTTCATCCCCCGTCCTCTTGGCTAAGACAAGAATGTGTGAAGAAAGATGCTCAGGAAGAGGAAAATGGCCCAGGGGACAGAGGGACACACTCCTTATCTGCTGGCCAGACTCTCTCTCCACTCAGGACATTCGCAAAGCAATCCCCTGCCCGCTCCTTGCTTTCCTGCCTCTCTCTCACTGAACCTTTACAGCTCGGCTCGGCTGTCCCTTCCCCAAAGAAGCCTCCTCCGACTTACAAGGTTGGGTGTGGTCCTTTTTCTAAGCTCCCACAGCCTCCTGTGCCTCCACTATCCCAGCCCTGACCACTCTGATCTGTCACTGTCTGGTATCTCCAGGATCCCCCAGCCCAGGGCCAGCACAGCGTGAGCACCCAAGGAGTGTTTATCTAAGGCAGCAGTGCTTCCATTCGCTTCCTGAGCGTCTGCTCTTCCGCCAGGCACTGTTCCAGGCGCTGGAGATGAGGCAGTGATGAAGGCAGACAAAATCCCTGTCCTCTAGTGGAGTTAGATAGATGATACACATGAGAAATTGGCAAATTATATTTTAGAAGGTTAGATGCTATAGGAGAGAAATAGAACAGAGAGGCGCGTGGGGTGTAGGGAGAGGATGCCATATGAAATAGGGTGCTCAGCGGTGGCCTCACTGAGATGGTAACATTTAAGCGAAGCTTCTGTAAGAGGTGAGGGGGCGAGCCATGTGCACGTCTTAGGGAAGAGCGTGTCAGGCCGCGGGGACGGCAAGAGCAGAGATCCGAGGCTCCGTCGGTGGCAGTAAGAGGAGGAAGGAATCCCAGGGCGGCTAGAGCAGGGGAAGCGAGTGGGAGGAGATGAGGGGCTGGAGGCCGGACCACCCAGGGTCTGACCATGCATCCTCACTACCCCCCCCCCCCCCCCCCCCCCCCCGTAGATCGACAACCAGCGCTCGCGCCTGCCCGCTTCCCTGGCCAATGGCCGCTTCCGAGTGTACCAGAGCGGGAGACAGGCCGTGGCGGAGCTGGACTTTGGGCTGGTGGTCACCTACAACTGGGACTCCCAGCTGGTCCTGAGCCTGCCCGAGCGCTTCCAGGACCAGGTGTGCGGACTGTGTGGCAACTATAACGGCGACCCGGCTGATGACTTCCTCACGCCTGACTGGGAGCAGGCTCCTGATGCTGTGGAGTTTGCCGGTAGCTGGAGGCTGGACGATGGGGACTACCTGTGTGATGACGGCTGCCAGGACGACTGTCCTTCCTGCACCGCAGGCCAGGCCCAGCACTATGAGGGCGACGGCCTCTGCGGCATGCTCACCCTGTCCAATGGCCCCTTTGCCGCCTGCCACGATGCCCTGGCCCCCCGGGCCTTCCTGGAGGAGTGTGTCTATGACCTGTGTGTGTTCAACGGGGACCGGGCCAGCCTGTGCCGCAGCCTCAGCGCCTACGCCCAGGCCTGTCTGGAGCTTGGCGTCTCTGTCGGGAACTGGAGGTCGCCAGCCAACTGCCGTGAGTGATGCCCCATGGGGGCTGTGAGCACGCGGTGGGAGGCGGGGGACCACTTGCGTCTGCTCAATATCTGAGCACTTGTAGTGGGTCAGCCTGGCGCTGGACCGTGTCAGAGCCGCAGAGATGGCCAAGACGGACAGGCTGTGCCCACGCTGAGCCTAAGGTTGGGGCGGACATAACACTGGATAGTGACAGCCCAGAGGGGTCACGCTGGGGTGGGGGAGGCACAGGTAGAGTGGTCAGGCCTGGGATAGGGGAAGTTCAAGGGGGTTATGGGAGACAAGAAGCTTCCTGACCCGGCCTGACGAGGGTCAAGGGGGATTTCCTAGAGAAAGGGCTGCCCAGTCGGAAACCCATGGGAGAGCTCAGAACTAGACAGAAAAAAGGGAGCAGGAAGTGCTCTCCAGGCTGAGGGGAGAGCATATGCAAAGCCTGGCATGAGAGGTAGTCTTCGGGGTCCCAAAGCAGAAATGTGAGCAGCTCTTTGTTTATAACCTTCTATGTCTCCCCGATGTCCTTTGGGCAAAGTCCCAGCTCCTTAGCCAGGTGTCCAGCCACTAAGTCATTCATTTACTCATTTATTCATCCCCATCCCTGTGTCCGTGATGGACACACACCTGTCCCTGTCTTCCTGAGGCTCCCAGAGAAATGTTCAGGAGGCTGAAGGCTAGGGGAGAGGGGGGCGGAGGCACCCAGGCCCAGGGCTTGAGAGGGGAACTCCAGAGGCGGAGAAGGTCTGAGGGAGACACTGAGGCCATGTAGGGCTTGTCTTGGTCACTACTGTGTCCCCACTGCCCAGTAAACACCCCCCTGCAGAGTTCCCCAGTGCCTGGTGCACAGGGGGAACCAGCGAGTTACTGTCTCCAATGGGCCCGGCCCTGTCCTTGGTGCTGAAATTCAGCCACGACTGGGACAGATCAGGTCCCCACTCTCACAGAACTGACATCCCAGAGGGGGAGCCAGACAGCAAGCAGCAAAGTGTGGCACAACTTCAGAGAGCAAAAGCAACAAAGTTCATGGAATAAGAGCAGATGGGAGGCCGGTGACAAGGGTGATCAGGGAAGGGCTCCTGGGGAAGTGACGTCAGAGTGGAGACCAGGATAAGGCAAAGGAGTCAGCTAAGTAATAAGGATGCTCACGAGGTGTCTCTGCATGGATTAACTCGTTTACTCCTCACGACAACCCTGTGAGGTCGCTACTATTAGTATCCCATTTTACTGATGGGGAAACTGAGGCACGGGGAGATTGGAGTCATCTGCTCAGTATCACACAGCTGAGAAAGGGAGAGCTGAGATTCGAACCCAGGCCACGGGGCTCCAGTAGCCTTCTCTTAACCACATGCTTCCCTGCCTTCTGGGGAAAGGCCGCTATGGGCAGAGGGAACAGCCAATGCAAAGGTCCTGAGGTAGGAGTGCGAGGACCCTCGAGGAGGCCACTGTGGCTGGGGCAGAGTGAGCCAGAGGGAGACTGAGAGGAGAGGAGGACGGAGAGGTGATGGGGCAAATCTTGGGGCCCTCATGGGCCACCAGGAGGACTCTGGCTTTTACCCTGAGCAAGGCAGAGCCACAAGAGGGCAGGGGAGAAACATCTTCCGACTCAGGTGTTCACAGGGTCCCTCTGGGTGCGTGTGAGGAACAGACTGTGGGGGCAGGATGGCAGCAAGGAGATGAGGCAGGAGGCTGCCAGGGTGGATGGGACCAGGGTGGGGACCGTGGTAAGAGGAGATGGGGGAAGATTCTGGATAGATCTGAATATGGAGCTCCCAGGCCTTACTGATAGATTGGCTGTCGGGGGAACGAAGCAGGGAGCCCATCAACCATGTCTCTGAGCTTTGGGGCCTGAGCCCCTGGAGAGATGGAGGTGCCATTAACTGAGATGGGGGCTCTGACGGGGGAGCAGGGTTTGGGGAGGCAAGTCCTGGTGCGCCCTTCGGACGGCGCACCCCTCCAGCCCCCTCCACGCCGGCCTGACCCACCTCCCCTTCTCCCCCAGCCCTGTCCTGCCCGGCCAACAGCCGCTACGAGTCCTGCGGGCCCGCCTGCCCGGCCACCTGCAACCCCGAGGCGGCGCCGGCCGACTGCTCCGGGCGCCCGTGCGTCGAGGGCTGCGTGTGCCTCCCGGGCTTCGTGGCCAGCGGCGACGCCTGCGTGGCCTCCTCGTCGTGCGGCTGCGTCCACGAGGGCCGCCCGCTCGCGCCCGGCCAGGCGGTGTGGGCCGACGAGAAGTGCCAGCGGCGCTGCACCTGCGACGGCGCCACCCAGCAGGTGCGCTGCAGCGACACGCAGGGCTGCCCGGCGGGCGAGCGCTGCCGCGTCCAGAACGGCCTCCTGGGTTGCTACGCCGACCGCTTCGGGAGCTGCCAGGGGTCCGGGGACCCGCACTACGTGAGCTTCGACGGCCGGCGCTTCGACTTCATGGGCACCTGCACGTACCTGCTGGCCGGCTCGTGTGGCCAGGCCCAGGCGCTGGCCGCCTTTCGCGTACTGGTGGAGAACGAGCATCGCGGCAGCCAGACCGTGAGCTACGCGCGCGCGGTCATCGTGGAGGCGCGCGGCGTGAAGGTGGCCGTCCGCCGGGAGCACCCTGGGCAAGTGCTGGTGAGGACGCGGGGAAACCCCCTAAAGAGCAGGGCGTCTGGACCCCGGGGTGGGCTGAGGGCTGTTAGCGGACCTTGTGGCCAGTGGTTCAGGCCGGGGCTCCTGAGCCAAGAGATGCTGCCTCTTGCTTGCTGTGTGACTCTGTCTCCAGGGGTCTCAGTTTTGTGCTCTGTCAAATGGAGTAATAAGAGGATACCTCCCCAGCCAGAGCCCCTTCACAAGGTGGTCTTGGGGGGTTGATAGGTTAATATTTGCAGGGTTTCAAAGAGGCCTTGGCACCCAGCAAGCGTTCAGTAAATGCCGACAATTTTTTTTTTTTTTTTGAGGAAGATTAGCCCTGAGCTAACTGCTGCCAGTCCTCCTCTTTTTGCTGAGGAAGACTGGCCCTGAGCTAACATCCATGCACATCTTCCTCCACTTTATATGTGGGACACCTATGACAGCATGATGGTGTGCCAAGTGGTGCCATGTCCGCACCTGGGATCCGAACCAGAGAACCCCGGGCCGCCGAAGTGGAGTGTGTGCACTTAACCGCTGTGCCACCGGGTCGGCCCCTGCTGACAATATTTTATTGTTAGGATCCCTCCCAAGTTATAGATATGAGCCTTTCCTGGAGGACGTTGATTTTCAGAGTAAGGGGCCTTGTAAAAGGTCAGGAACTAGAGATAGGAGCCCGGGGGACTCCTAGACAGGCCCCACTCATGGAGGGTGGCAGGTTTCTGGACAAATATTTCTTAGGGGGTCCACCATCCAGTGGAAGCTGAGAACCACTGATTTTCTCTTTAAAGAAAAGATGAAACTCCAGAGGTGGGTTGTTGTAGGATTCACAGCAATTCTTACGGAGCAGTTTGGGACAGTGGCCCATGCCTTGGGGAGGAGGATGAATTGGAAATGGGAAATCAAGAGAATTTTCCATGGGCCAGGCCTTAACTGGTAATCGTCAGAAGGACCTTAGAGTCAAGGAAATTCTGCCCAGAAAGCCTAGGGTTTAGAATAGAGAATCTTCTAGATAAACAGAGGGCGTGATTATTAATATTTTTGTTTCCACCTCTCTGAGATGACATCTAAGCTGCAGCTTGAATAATAATAGCCAAAATATATTCATTACTTCTATGTTTAAATGCTTGACATACAGTAACTCATTTAATCTCTGTAACAACTCTGTGAAACAGTTAACCTTGTTAGACGAGGAAACTGAGGCACAGAGAGGTTAAGTCATCTATTCAAGATCACACAGCGAATGAGTGGCCAAGCCAGGATTTGAAGCCAGGCTGTCTGGCTCCGGAGTCCATACTCTTGACCGCTGCATCCTATTGCCTCTCCTGAAGAAAGAGATGGAACAGGCAGGGAGAGAAGTGGATGGAAGTGTGCTCCGGGGAGAAGAAGCAGCAAGTGCAAAGGTTCTGAGGCAGGAACAGACATGAGGGGAGAGGAACAGCATGGAGACCAGTGGGGCTGGAATGGGAGTGGGGAGGTAAGGCATGGTGTAGGGGGTGGCTATGATAGAAGCTTCTCATTTAAGCTGAGAGGACGAGGAAGAGACCACCAGGCGAAGAGTGGTCGTTCCTGGGCAGGGGGAGCAACAGGCGCAGAGGCCGAGGTTGGACTGAGCTTGACGAGCGCAGAACAGCATGGGGCCGCCCCCGAGAGAATGAGGTTGGGGACATGGGATGGAGAGATTGGTAGGAGATGAGGTCAGAAAAGCGGGGACAGACAGGGCCTCGTGGGTAGAGGGGTTCAATTTTAAGCTGAGACGTGAAGGACGATGGAGAGGCAGCCAGGCAAAGAATAGGGATGTGGAAGAGGCTAGGAACGCCACAAATAGAGGGTACAGCAAGTGCAAAGGCCCTGGGGCTGGGCTGAGCTTGATGAGTTCAGGAGAATACCCAAATGCCTGCATGGCTGGAGTTGCAGGGGTGGGGAACGGGGTGCTACCGGAGAATTAAACTGGAGAGAAGTAGGGCTCAGATAATTTAGGGCCTTTTAGGCCATTACAAGGGGTTTGGATGAAGGCTGACACCTAAAAGATGAAGTAGAGATGGCCAAGTGAAGAGTGATGGGTGGTAATCCAGGAAGAGGGCACAGCAAGTGCAAAGGCCCTGAGGTGGGCCCACACATAATATGCTCAAGAGACTAGCAAGGAGCCCAGAATCGCTGGAACCGAGTGAGTGAGGGCTGGGCCACAGAGCCATGACTGCCCTGACCCCTTGGCCCTCCTGCATTTCCATCCAGGTGGACGACATCCTTCGGCACCTGCCCTTCCAGGCCGCAGATGGACAGGTGCAGGTGTTCCGCCAGGGCCAAAAGGCCGTCGTGAGCACAGACTTTGGCCTGACTGTCACCTACAACTGGGATGCCCATGTGACTGTCAAGGTGCCTCAGAGCTATGCTGGGGCCCTGTGTGGGCTCTGCGGGAACTTCAATGGGGACTCAAGTGATGACCTGGCTCTGAGGGGCGGGGGCCAAGCGGCCAATGCTCTGGCCTTTGGGAAAAGCTGGCAGGAGGAGACGAGGCCGGGCTGTGGAGCGACCGAGCCGGGTGACTGTCCCAAGCTGGACTCCCTGCTGGCTGAGCAGCTTCAGAGCAAGAAGGATTGTGGGATCGTTGCCGACCCCAAGGGGCCCTTCCGGGAGTGCCACAAAGTGCTGGACCCGCAGGGTGTCGTGCGCGACTGCGTCTACGACCGCTGCCTGCTGCCAGGCCAGACTGAGCCACTGTGTGATGCATTGGCCACCTACGCTGCTGCATGCCAGGCCGCCGGGGTCACCGTGCACGCCTGGAGGAGTGAGGAATTTTGTCGTGAGTACCGGGAGTGACAACTGGGGGGGGGGGGGGGGGGGGGGGGGGGGGCGTGGCTCAGCCTTATGTATATTCATTACCGCCTGAATATCATTAACTCATTTAATTCTTAAAGCAGCCCTATGAGGTAGGGACTGGGGTTGTGACCATTGAGCAGATGAGGACACTGAGGCTCAGGAAGGTTCTGTCCCATGCCCAGGATCATGACAGCTAGGAAGCCACAGATGCAATAGATGTTTTTGAAATGACCGAACACACGGGCGGCCCCAGGTCTGACGCCCCTATGGCGGCTGTCATTCAGAGAGGAGCTGCCTGCAGAAGGAACCTGCTCCCCTCCCCTTCTTGGCCCGCATCTGACCTGCTGCGCTCCTTTATGACATCCGCCTGGCCCCGTGGACAGTCACTTCGAGGCCCTTGCTTCGGATGTGGGTGCAGGAATGGTCTTCGGCATTTACGCTGGGCTGTAAAAGTTTGAAAAGCTGTGCATCCATTCATCTGACTTTACTGCCTAGGTTTATTGCTGAACTAGAACGCACATATTCAAAGACAGGTGCATGTCATAAGCCAACAGCTTAGTCAGCGTCCAGCAAGAGAACAAATCTGGGTAACCTGTCCCAAGAACCAAACCAGGCCCCCCACCCCCTCAGAAGCCCCTTCATGCCCTCTTCCCAGCATTGTGCCCCGAGACGTAGCCATTATTCTCACTTCTCACGCTTTTGAACTTTATAAGAGTGGAACCACACATCTCTAGTTTTCCATCCTAAGTGTAAATAATTACAAAGGATATAATTTCTAGCAAATGATAACTTTTGACTTTTAAAATTTTTTTCAAGGTCTGCCCCCCCCTTTTTTTTTTGGTAAGGAAGATTGGCCCTGAGCTAACACGTGTTGCCAATCTTTCTCTTTTTTTTTCTCCCCAAAGCCCCGGTGCCTAGTTGTATATCCTAGTTGTAAGTCCTTCTTAGTTCTATATGGGACACCGCCATAGCATGGCTTCATGAGGGGTGTGTAGGTCCTCACCCAGGATCCGAACTGGCGAACTCTGGGCCACCAAAGCAGAGCATATGAACTTAACCACTATGCCACCAGGCTGGCCCCTAAAAATATTTTCATTATGGAAAATTTTGAACATACTCAAAGCTGGAGAGAACAGGAGAACAGCCCCTCGAATATCCATCATCTGCCTTCCACAATTATCAACATGATGATGACATTTTAAAATAAAACTGTTACTTGACTTACATTACTCTTTTAAATATATTGAACACAGTGGCATACATCACTGGCCATTGAAAAATACATGAATGTCACATCATTCATTTTTTTCCTTCAACTTACATTCATTCATTCATTCATTCAGCAACTGTTTGTTGAACACCTCCTGTATTCCAGGTGCTGGGGATACACTGGAGGGAAAAAAATCCTTGCTCTCCCGAACCGATGTTCTAATGGTTTTTAGTTCCAATAGAATTGAATCTAATGTAATAGACGTATATACCTGAAACTCTCTTTTTTTGATCACTGCAACAGTTAGTTTTTGCTGGGTAACAAACATCCCCAAAGCTTAGTGGATTAAAACAGCAGGTATTTGTTATTTCTCATGGTTCTGTGGGCTGCTGGGCTGTTCTCCTCGTCTGGGCCAGCGTGGCTCATCTCCACGGGGGCCTGGATGGTCTGCAGTGGCCTGACTGATGCATCTGGCAGTTGTCAGGCTGGTTGGTCTGGGGCAGCTCAGCCGAGACGGGTCGTCTCCACTCTGCTTGGTCTTGTCTTCCAGCCGATAGCACAGGCTCCTTCACACAGTGCGCTCCGCTCCCGAAGAGCCACAAGGGCAGACAAGCCCCGGTGGACAGGCACTTCCAGCCTCTGCTGGGCCATCACCATCACGTTTGCTGATGTCCCCTTGGCCGAAGCCAATACCACAGCCAAGCCCAGAGGCGGGGGTGGCCATCAGCAGGCTGTCACAATCCCCATCATACTTCTCTGCCACAAACATATACATATGTGAACAACATTCAGTAATTTCTAGAAATTCAGGAGACCATAAGACTCTAAGTGCTAATCAAAAAAAATCATGGAGTGAGGTATCATTGCAAGAATCACGAGTACACGACTGATAAAAAATATTAAACCTAAAAAGGTGAAATGTGTTGGAGAGGCGTCTCTTAGTAAGGCAAATAGGGCATTTTCCCCAATAGTTCAGGGATGTTGTGAGGATGGAACTCAGCGTCAATTGTAATCCTATTTTTCATTTTTGTAGACATGTTCTTATAAGCAGGTGGCAGCGGAAGGAGTTCTGGTGGAGCAACGTCACTCCACCCTCTGAGCTCCTTTCAAGTCTTAGGGAAGTCGGTCACGCAAGGAGACACCACAAAACTTACTTTTTCTGACCTCTGAGCAGCCGATTCACTCAGGCCCTCCTTCTGTTTTGTCGGGAGCAGAGTTGGAACCGAATTGTTACCCAGTAATGATTCGTGATTCCTTGTCTCCACACTTACAGCAGTATTTGAAATCGTCCCTTCATGTCACGCCCTAGGGCAGCGTACCGTGTTAAGATCTGGGATGGGTCGGGGCTGCGCTGTTCTCTGTAAAACAGGAGAACCACATTTGCAAAAGGGACAGTCGGGGAAAAAAGGGGGAGGCTGGCCTGGGTGGGTAGTGGTTAAGTTCACACACTCCACTTCGGTGGCCTGGGGTTCACGGGTTTGGATCCTGGGCGCCGACCTACACGCTGCTCATCAAGCCATGCTGTGGTGGCGTCCCACATAGAAGAACTAAAATGATTTACAACTAGGATACACAGCTATGTGCTGGGACTTTGGGGAGAAAAAAAAAAGGGGAATATTGGCAACAGATGTTAGCTCAGGGCCAAAAGAACAAGGGACAGTGGGGAGGGAGAGGCAGCTCCATGGCAGGTGCATCCTCAGGCCGATCATTTCAGGAGGGGTGGGTGTACTTACAGCTAGTGCTCGGGTGGCGCACTTCCCACTGGGCAGGGCCACTTCTAAGGGCTTTACGGTTCTCATTTCATCCTCGCCAGCACCCTGGGAGGTGAGATCGTTCCTGTTCCTGGTTTACAAAATGAGGAAATGGAACCACAGAGATGTTAAGTTACTTCCCTGAGGTCACACAGCAGGGCAGCACGATCTGGGCCCAGGCAGGTTGGCTCCTGCATTTGCACTGTTCGTTGCTACATTCTGTGGCCTCTGTGGAAATTGAGAATCTCTTTATTTCCTTTAAACGACTCTTGCCCCTGCACCCCTTGGAAGTTCTAGAAGAGTGGGTTGCAAGGACTCAGACATCAGGCAGAGGGGGCCTGGCGTGGGGCCTGACCCCACGCACCCAGCACCAGCTTCCACGATTGTGAATATTTTCTCATTCTCAGTTTCTCTTCTCTTCCTCCACTGCCCCTTTCTCTTTTTATTTTGCTGAAATATTTTAAAGCAAATTCTAGACGTATGAGTTTTCCCGTAAATACTACAATAAACATCTCCAACAGATAGGCCTTTGAAGAACCTTGACCACCATACTATTATTACTAGTAAGGAAAATAGCACTAGCTCCCTAATATCATCTAAGACCCAACTTAGATTCGAATTTCCCCAAATTGTCCCAAAAAATGTGTTTTTTCGGTTTCTTTGAATCTGGATCCGGACCAAGTCCGTACACTGCATTGGGCTGATTTTTCTTAAATCACTTTTATCCTGTAAGAGCCCCCTTCCTTTTTTTTCCCCAACATATTATGATGAAATTTTTCAAATATACAGAAAAGTCGAAAGAATTTCACCGTGACTACCCACATCCTTTCTGTCTAGATTCCACAATCTATTTTACTCTCCCCGCCGTATCGCCTATCTATCTCCCTCTCCACCCCTCCCTTTTGTTCATGCCGTGTATTTCTGGGGACAAAAACAGGTCATTTCTCCTGCAGAATTTCCTGCTGTCTGAATTTCGCTGGTTGCTTCTTCGTGGTGTTGCTTATCTTGTCCCTCTCTCCCCTAGGTTCTCTTGTAAACTGAATATTAGATCCAGACCAGCGCTGTCATCAATGTTGGTGATGGTGGAAATGCCCTATTCTGAGCTGGCCCATGTGGTTGCCACTCTTCACATGGGGCTATTGAGCACTTGAAGTGGGGCTAGTGTGACCGAGGAACGAAATCTTCAATTTTATGTCATTTTAATTAACTTTCATTTAAGTGGCCACAGTGCCTATCATATGGGACATAGCAGATAGAGAGGCTTGATTGGGTTCAGTTTTTGTTTTTTTGTTTTTTTTTTTTTTTTGAGGAAACCATCTGTCTGATAGTCTGGAGTGACTGGAGTTTGGAGAGAGGAACAGAGATTTTTTTCCTTTTCTTTACAACACTGGCTAAGTATTTTAGTGTACGATAGAATTGCTATTATGACTACGTATTACTGCAATAGAATGAGGAAGCGAAAAATGCCGCATTCACAAATACGCTAGATAGATGACACACACACGCACTATGCATGCGTCTGTATTTTAAAACATGGACCACATCTCCACAACTTGTTATCAGCTTGAATCAGGTCTTTAAAGACGTTACAGATAACCCCAAACCAGAGTTAAACGGAGATCGGGTTAACCGTGACGTAATCTGTTCCCCAGGCCCCGCTGAACAGAGGGGCTTCTCACAGCTGGGCCCCTCGTGTGTGTGTGTGAGCATGTGCACACGCGTGTGTGCGGGGGCGGGGTGAGCTGTGTCGCCGGGGAGTGGGGAACCTTGGTCCTGACGGCCACTCTCCCTGCAGCCCTGGACTGCCCACGCCACAGCCACTACGAGGCGTGTGCCTCCGGCTGCCCACTGTCCTGTGGAGACCTCCCGGTGCCCGGGGGCTGCGGCTCCGACTGCCACGAGGGATGCGTGTGTGATGAGGGCTTCGCGCTCAGTGGTGAGTCCTGTGTGGCCCTGCCCTCCTGCGGCTGCGTCTACGCGGGCGCCTACCACCCGCCAGGCCAGAGCTTCCACCCAGGACCGGACTGCAATTCCCTTTGCCACTGCCAGGAGGGTGGCCTGGTGTCCTGTGAGCCCTCCACCTGTGGCCCGCACGAGGCCTGCCAGCCATCCGGTGGCATCCTGGGCTGCGTGGCTGTGGGCTCTGCCACCTGCCAGGCATCCGGAGACCCCCATTACACCACCTTCGACGGCAAACGCTTCGACTTCATGGGCACCTGTGTGTATGCGCTGGCTCGGACCTGCGGGACCCGGCCTGGCCTGCACCAGTTTGCCGTCCTGCAGGAGAATGTGGCCTGGGGCAACGGGAAAGTCAGTGTGACCAAGGCCATCACTGTCCAGGTGGCTAACTTCACCCTGCGGCTGGAGCAGAATCAGTGGAAGGTCAAGGTGAGCGCAGGGGCAGAACAGGAAGGGGATGGGCCTGGGACAGACGGCGATCTGTGGGTCGGACACGGGCAGCACTCAGCCCAGGGGCAGGGGGCATGGAGCTCGGAGCGGATGTGGGAGGCATGGGGTCCCCAGGAGAGGAGGTGCCGGTCAGAGTGCAGAGTGGGGGGCCAAGGAGGAAGGCGGCCTTGAGGACCTGGGACCTGCTCCCATGTGGCTCAGTTTCCCCCTCTCTCTGCTCCTCAGTGTCCCCTTTCCCTGCCCCTCAGCTGTCCTCTGAACATCTCTCCTACCCCCTTTCCCTTCCACTCCATCTTCCTCTCCACCTGGCTCCTGCTCCAGCCACCCCCCTGGTCTCCCAGCCAGTGATGCAATCAGAGGTTGGGAAAGTTCAGGGATAGGAAAGGTTCAAGGACAGAGGACAATCTATGGGTGACCCCATCACCCCTTAACAACCATACCAACAGCGACAATGGCAGCCACAGTTTTTACACGGCTGACCCCAGACCTTGTTGGCACTTCACATCCATGGCATCATTTTATCCTCACAACAGAAGCCGGAAGTACCATGACTGGCTTTATGTTTTAGAGGAGGAGGTCCCTTCATTGGCCCAAAGTTCCCCAGGTGAGGCAGGACTTGAAGCCAGAACGGCGTGCCAGGAGAAGGCGCCCTGGACCCTGGGCGCTCTCCGTGGTGCTTTGCCGACAGAGAAGGATTTGGTCTCATGTGGAAACTGGCATTTCACTTACACTAGAGGGATTTCTCCAGCGACCCCACTAAAATGCAGGCACGTGGCCGTTGTACTAGTAACAGAATTGACGATGAGGATGCTGATAAATAGCTGATTTTTTCAGGTGCTCACTACCCAACGAACATGCATTAGATGCTTTAATATATATCGTCCCTGATGTCGTGCAAGCTCCTGGAACAGCGCCTGACATATAGTTGGCTCTCAGTACATAGGAGTTGTTGGTGTTCTTGTTATTTGCCTCCCACTGAATCCCTCAGCATCTCTATGAGGTGGAAACTATTATTATCCCCACTTTACAGATGAGGAAACTGAGGCACAGAGGTTAAGTCACTTGTCCTTAACCACTCCCCGTTCCTTCTTGGGCTGTATGGCAGTTGACTGTGCCTTTAGGAGGTTCAGACAGGAGCATGTCTTTCTCCTGTCTTCTCCTCTGAGTCCTCACACTTCCAAAAGAATCTGACACTCATCGTGTCTGCGTTCAAGAAGGCCGAGCGAGCGTGTTCATCAGGGGGGCATTGATAAGGCTGTGTGGGTGCCCAGCAGCCTTCAGCTGAAACCACTGGGTCTTGGGTCATGGAGCCAAGAAGTTCATTTCCCCAGGAATTTAGCCTGACTTTTCCACCCACTGATGCTTAAAGCGAAAACCCTTAGCACCCATTAACTCCTCGAAATAAAAACTTCCAATCGTAGCTAATAATGATGGCGGAAGGCTCCCAGTGCATTCATTCCGTGCCATACACGTTTCCGAGAATTTTACAAAGTTTAACTTATCTCGCCCTCCCGATAGCTCCCTGGGGTAGGTACCTCATTCCCACTCAGGAGCTGGGGAAACAGAAACACAGAGAGGTGACTCACCCGCCCAAGGCCACAGAGAGAACCAGGGACAGAGCTGTTTTGAGCCCAGGCAGGCAGCCCTGGAGTCAGTGACTGCATCACTGAGCCCCCCAGTAACGGGTGGGTACCGTGTTAGTTTCCTGTGGCCGCCGCGACATGTTAATGCACACTTGGTGGCTTCAAACGACAGAATTTATTTTCTCACAGTTGTGGAGGCCGGAAGTCCAAAATCAAAGTTCAGCAAGCACTGCAGGCCCTTGGGGAGCATGCTTCCTGCCTCTTCCAGCTTCTGGTGGCTCCAGGGGTTCCTCGGCTTGTGGCCACATCACTCCCATCCGTGTCTTTGTCTCCTCTGTGTGTCTCTGTGTCTTCTCTTCTGGCTCCTATAAGGACCCTTGTCGTTGGATGTAGGGGCCACCTTAATCCAGGGTGATCGCATCTGGAGATCTAATTATATCCACAAAGACCCTTATTCCAAATAAGGTCATATTCTGAGGTTCTGGTGAACATATCTTTTGGGGACCACCATTCAACCCACTACAATATCTTATTATTATGCCCATTTTACAGTTATGGAAACTAAGGCCAGGAGAGGTGGGGTCACACAGATGTTGAGTGTCAGGCAGGCGCTTGCACTGGGTCTGCCCTCTTGACGTGCACCATCTCCCCCCTCCCAGGTGAACGGTGTGGACATGAAGCTGCCCATGGTGCTGGACCAGGGCCGGGTCCGCGCCTCCAAGCACGGCTCTGACGTCATAATCGAGACTGACTTTGGCCTGCGTGTGGCCTACGACCTTGTGTACAATGTGCGGGTCACCGTCCCCGGCAACTACCATAGGCAGCTGTGCGGCCTGTGCGGGGACTACAACGGCGACCCCAAGGATGACTTCCAGAAGCCCGACGGCTCGCAGGCGAGTGACCCCAAAGATTTCGGCAACTCCTGGGAGGAGAAGGTGCCCGACTCTCCCTGTGTGCCACCGCCCCCCTGTGAGGAGGACTGTGACCCAGGCACGTGTAAACCCGAGCTGCAGGACAAGTACAAGCAGGAGAAGTTCTGTGGGCTCCTCGCCAGCCCCACTGGGCCGCTGGCTGCCTGCCACAAGCTCCTGGATCCCCAGGGTCCCTTGGAAGATTGTGTCTTTGATCTCTGCCTGGGTGGCGGGGACGAGAGCATCCTATGCAACAACATTCACGCCTATGTGAGCGCTTGCCAGGCGGCTGGAGGCCACGTCAAGCCCTGGAGGACCGAATCTTTCTGTCGTGAGTGAGGGGCAGACAGCAGGGGACACTCGGGGGCAGGGAGAGGGGAAGGTCAGGCCCTGCAGCCCCTCCCTTCTGGGGGCTCTGACTGGCACCCCCTGTTTGCAGCGCTGCCGTGCCCTCCCAACAGCCACTATGAGGTCTGTGCAGACACCTGCTCCGTGGGCTGCGCGGCCCTCAGTGCCCCCTCACAGTGTCCGGATAGCTGTGCTGAAGGCTGCCAGTGTGACCCTGGCTTCCTCAACAATGGCCAGACCTGCGTGCCCATCCAGGAATGCGGCTGCTACCACAACGGTGCCTACTACGAGGTAGGGACCCAGCCATCCTCATCCTGGACCCCCCTCCCACAGCCCATCGGCCCCACAGCCTTGTCCACTGGCCTCCCGCATGTCTCTCCCACCCACCCCGAGGCCCCACCGTGGTCTCATTTGTCGTCTTCCACCTGGCTCCCTCGGGTCCACCGTCCCCCCAGCAGTGGGAAAGACCTTTCTAAATATGACCACGGGTCATGCAACCTTAAGCCCTCCCTGGCTCCCAGGTCAAGTTTTGGCTTTGTAACCCAGGTCCAGACTCTTCTCCGTTACACCAGCGGCTCCCTCCCTGTGCTTCTCTCTGCCACCCTCTCGGTTACGCCTTTTCCTCTGATCTGAGTGTGTGTCTAAGGTCGGTCTCCCTCAAAGGGCTGTGGGCTCCCTGAGGGCAGGGACCCTCTGCTGTTCTCCTCATCAGAATAATAATAGTAATAACAGCAAATAGGGAGATGGCACTTACCATGTGCTGGCTGCTGCTTCAAGCGTTATACGTACAAGATATATGCATTACATATATAGAGACAATACAATATACCTACGTGTAGATATATACGCATTGCAATATGCATATATATTGCATTATATATATACACTTTTTATTATGGAAATTCTTAAGAGTGCAAAAGTCAAGAGAACAGTATAATAAACTTCCACGTCCCTGTCACTCAGCTTTGAAAATAATCATCATTTTCCCAGTCTTGTTTCATTTCTGCCTCCGTCTCCTCCCCAGTCTGGACTGTTTACAGGAAATCCTTTTTCATTTCACCTGTACTTTGTACGTCTTATGGGCTCAAGTATACTTTCCTAGGTAGGAGCTGTTATTATCCGCAATGTACAGATGGTGAAACTGAGGCATAAAGAGGTTAAGTCATCTGTGCAGAGAGATATAGTTTGGAAATAGCAGAAGCAGGCCTCAGACCCGGCCGTCTGCTCCAGAGCACTCTTTCTCCTATACAGCACGTGTTTCATCGATATTTTGGATAAAGGAATGAGTAAATGAATGAAAGTGAATGAATGAATGAGTGAATTGGACCCCAAGGCCATCCCGTGCCTTAGTTTCAAAGACAAGGGGCCACTCTGCTGAAAGATGTCCCTTTCATGTCCTCCCAACCCCTCTGTGCCTGGGACACTGGAGATGCTGGCGTCAGCTCCCACCCTGATGGCTGTGCCCTCTGTCCCCACAGCCAGGGCAGACGGTGCTCATCGACAGCTGCCGGCAGCAGTGTACGTGCCACGCTGGAGGAAGCATGGTGTGCCAGGCCCACAGCTGCAAGCCGGGGCAGGTGTGCGAGCCATTGAAAGGCGTCTTGAGCTGCGTCACCAAAGGTGCTGGGCTGGGGCAGGGGGCCTGGGTGGCTGGCAACAGAGGACAGGGACTGTGGAGCTGAGGGTGGCGTGACTGGATCTTCATGACGGGAGGATTGAGGTCTCAGACCTGGGGACCCCTGGGCTGGGAGGCAGCGACCCTTATAGTGGAATCCAGGCCTCAGGGCAGATGTCAGAGACCCTCAGCATAAGGCAGGGTCAGGCAAATTTTTTCTCTAAAGGGCCAGATGATAAATATTTACACTTGCAGGCCGTATGGTCTCGGTCACAACTACTCAGCTCTGCCATCGTGGCATGAAATCAGCATAGGCTGTGTAAGTGAGGGAGCGTGGCTCTGATGAAACTTATAAGAGGCAGCCTCGGTGCCATCGTTTGCTGACCACTGGTGTGTGGGAATAGGCTCGGGGCTTCAGACGCCATCCCAAGGGGTAGGGAGACTGGGACCCCCAGGACAGGAGCAGAAAGCAGAGTTCTGAGGTCTCAGGCAGAGACCCCGCCAAGGCCAGGGTCTTGGATACAGGGCCCTCCTCAATAGGGGATCAGTCTCAGACATGGGACCCCCCAGATTAAGTCAAAGACACAGAGCCGCCCCCCAGAACTGGTTTCTTAGGGTGAAAGGCAGAGAATAATTAATTCCCTTATTAGGATAAGTGAAGGGGACCTCCAGGACTGAGAGGTGGGGGACTGAGACCCTCTGAGCCGAGGGGCAGGATAAGAGGGACTCCAAGGGTTGGGGGTACACCGGTCAGGGTCCAACCAGGAGACAGAAACCACACAGTAGCTTGAGTAAGGAAAGTTTAATAGAAAAAATTCTTTACTTGAAATAGAGGATTATCTACAAAGGGGTAAAAAGAATGTGACAGGACACAAGAAAAGCAGATGCAGGGAGCAGCCGCTGCCCCTTGGGCTACAGCAGAGCCCCCAAGGAAGGAGGGAATTGGGAAGAGGGGCCCCACCCCACGGCTGAGAGGCCCATCTCCTTGGAGGCAGAGAGGTTGTGCAGGCTGGAGCTGGTGCTGGGGAAACCCCCACTGGGGTGCTGGCGAAGCTCACTGAGAAGCCGCCCGGCAGGGCGCCCGAGTGACTCACTGGGAAGCCAGCTGGGGCCGGTGGACCTCAGGGAGTGGGTGTCCCAGTGCCCCACGACCCATGGGCCAGCAGGAGCCAGGGAGCAGAGGCCCTGGGAGTCCCTTCCTCCTGCAGTGACTCTCCAGCGCCCTCTACTGACCAAGCCGAACTATGAGTGGGTTTGGAGCTCAGAGGCAAGCAACAGAAAAACAGCACCGGAGGAGAGGAGGGAGTTTTAAGGCTGGGGTCTTGGACGTAGGGGTTTCAAACATTGCAGTCACTGATAGAGTGGCCCCAGGAACAGAGTTGTGGAGAAAGCGACCCTCGAAGTTAGGGCAGAAATGAGATCCCCAAGGCAGGGTCTCCGATGCAGTAATCCCGGCGTTGGAGTCTTACGTGGCCGTGAGACTTAAGATACGGAGTCCTCAGGGTCAGGGTCTCCAGTGTTGGGACTTCTGGGGTTAGGTTCTTGCCAGAAAGTTCCTCCAGCACCTTGGTCTTGGGCACAGAGACTTCCAGGACCTGGGTGTCAGATGTGGTGGCCCCCGGGAGGCTGGGAGCTCAGGCTTGGGAAACCCGGGGCCCAGGTCTAGAGCACAGAGAATTCTGGGGCTGTGGATGCCCTCAGGGATACCCTCTGGGCTGGCATCATAGAGGTGCGGACCCCTGGGGCTCTGGTCTCAGACCTGGGTTCCCTGGGGCTGAGATTTCAAGCAAGGGGACCCCGAGGCTGGGTGCTGATGCAGGGCCTCTAGGCCCAGGTTCTGGCTGGAAGGACCTGGGAGCGTGGATCTTCAATGTGGGGACCTTTGATGGGGTCTTAGACACAGTCCTCCACAGGGTGTGAATTTCAAACATGGGGCCCCCCAGGGCCTGGTCTCAGAAACAGCAAACTGCAGGGGGTCTGGGATTCAGAGTGAGGACCCTGGAATCTGGCCTCACCCATGGCAGCCCTCAGAGCCAGTATCCCTGGCACAGACTGACGCAGATGCTGGGGAGCAGCCGGCCTTCTGCTGGGCAGCCCCTCAAAGTCCTGTCTCCTCCACCCCCAGACCCATGCCAAGATGTGAACTGTCGGCCACAGGAGACATGCCAGGAGAAGGATGGCCAGGCCATTTGCGTGCCCAAATATGAGGTCACGTGCTGGCTGTGGGGTGACCCACACTACCACTCCTTCGATGGCCGGAACTTTGACTTCCAGGGCACCTGCAACTACGTACTGGTGACCACCGACTGCCCTGGGGTCAGCGCCCAGGGCCTGCCACCCTTCACCGTCACCACCAAGAATGAGAACCGGGGCAACCCCGCTGTATCCTACGTGAGGCTAGTCACTGTGGCTGCCCTCGGCACCAACATCTCCATCCACAAAGGCGAGATCGGCAAAGTCCGGGTGAGTCCCGTGGAATGGTCCCCTGAGCCCCCCTCACCCCCCACCCAGGAGGGGTTTTGCCGGCCATAGTTAGGAGCTCAATGCGCTCTGTCTTTGTCTAGGCCTGAAACAAAAGGGCAGCAAAAACAACAATAATTACAGCAAAAACATCACCCCTCTGTTGGGAATTAAGCGAACCTAGGCCTTTGCTAAGGGCTTGACCATAGCACTTCAGAATTTGCCTTTGTGGAGACCTGAGTTTGAATCCAGGCTCTCCTGAGCCGTGTGATGTTGGGCACATGACTTTACGTGGTGGGCCTCCTCATCGGTGAAAGTGGGATCCGCAGGCCCTGCCCCGCAGGGAGGCAGCGTCTGTCAAGGGCCTGGCTGACCGGGTGAGCCCCCCCCCGCCCCCCGTGAATGTTTGTGAGGAAACAAATGAGAGGCCCAGAGGCTCCGACGTGGAGCAAAATTCCGGGAGGTGGAGAGAGAGAGAGAGAGAGAAAGAGACACGGGCCCTTCTTCCTGCCCAGGGTCATGGAGATGCAAATCAATGGCAGCTCACAGGAAGAGAGTGAGGTGTGGAACAACAAGGGGGCGCTCACTAAATGATGGTGAGGAGAGGAAGAGATGTCCAGACCCTCAGGGATACATAGGGAACGAGGAGGGAGGGAGGAAGTGAGTGAGAGAGACACAGGGAAAGAGCCAGAGAGATGGGCCGAGATCAAGAGAGACCCAGAAAGTAAGTCCACACACACAGATGCAGACAGAGGGAGAGAGTGCACGAGAGAGGGAGACCCAGAGAGAGACAGAGGGAGACAGAGATCAAGAGAGACACCCAGAGGGCCAGCCCTGTGGCCCAGTAGTTAAGTTTTGTGTTTTTTTTTTTGAGGAAGATCAGCCCTGAGCTAACATCTGCCAATCCTCCTCTTTTTGCTGAGGAAGCCTGGCCCTGAGCTAACATCCGTGCCCATCTTCCTCTACTTTATATGTGGGATGCCTACCACAGCATGGCATGCCAAGCGGTGCCGTGTCCGCACCCGGGATCCGAAGCAGCGAACCCCGGGCCGCTGAGAAGCGGAATGTGCGCACTTAACCGCTGCGCCAGCAGGCCGGCCCCACCCAGTGGTTAAGTTTCAGCGCTCCACTTTGGTGGCCCGGGGTTCACCAGTTCAGATCCCAGGCGTGGACCTGTGCACCGCCCCTCAAGCCACGCCGTGGCAGCTTCCCACATGGAGGAACTAGAATGACTTGCAACTAGAATACACAACTATGTACTGGGGCTTTGGAGAGAAGGAAAGCAAAAAAAGAGGAAGATTGGCAACAGATGTTAGCTCAGGGCCAATCTTCCTCACAAAAAAAAAGTGAGAGGCTAAGTTCATGCACTCTGCTTTGGTGGCCCAGGGTTTGCCGGTTCAGATCCCGGGTATGGACCTATGCACCACTTATCAAGCCATGCTGTGACAGGTGTCCCACATATAAAGTAGAGGAAGATGGGCACGGATGTTAGCTCAGGGCCAGTCTCCCTCAAAAAAATAAAATAACATAAAATTTAAAAAGAGAGAGAGAGAACCAGAAAAAGAAGCAGTGTGAGGTCTCAGCCCCCAAGTCCTGGACTAGAGCACATGTTTATGTTTGTCAAATGGCTATACAACCATCAGTGGTAAGGAAGGCCTTGGCAGCTCCCAGCCATGGCAGGACAAGAGCAGGGGCCTGTCCACCTTGAGTGACCTCTTTTTGCCTCCTTTCCTCCCTTCCCCCAGGTGAACGGTGTGCTAACAGCGTTGCCTGTCTCCGTGGCTGGTGGGCGCCTCTCGGTGACCCAGGGCGCATCAAAAGCGGTGCTGACAACTGACTTTGGGCTGACGGTCACCTATGACTGGGATTGGCGAGTGGAGGTGACGCTGCCCAGTAGCTATGACAGCGCAGTGTGTGGGCTCTGCGGGAACATGGACCGCAACCCCAGCAATGACCAAGCCTTCCCCAACGGCACGCTGGCTCCCTCGATACCCGTCTGGGGCGGCAGCTGGAGAGTCCCAGACTGGGACCCACTCTGCTGGCACGAATGTCAGGGGTCCTGCCCGACATGTCCCGAGGACCAGCTGGACCTATACGAGGGCCCTGGCTTCTGTGGCCCCCTGGCCCCTGGCTCAGGAGGCCCCTTCGCCGCCTGCCATGCCCACGTGACCCCGGAGACCTTCTTCAAGGGCTGCGTTCTGGATGTCTGCCTGGGCGGTGGGGTCTATGACATCCTGTGCCAGGCTCTGGCTGCCTATGCTGCCGCCTGCCAGGCCGCTGGAATTGTCATCAAGGACTGGAGGGAGCAGACCGACTGCAGTGAGTATCAGGGGAGCGGAGCAGGAGTTGGGGGCCGGGTCCTGTCCCTGTGGGGCTGCTGGGGTTTCAATCCAGTCCTTCCGGTCGCCCCCCCACCCACTCAGTCTGTCCCTCTTAGTCTCTCTCTCTGGCTCCTCCCACCCTATGGTCAGACCCCACCCCCTGACACCATTCTCTCTCTTTCTCTCCCTCCCACTCCTTCATCCACCTGCAGTGATGCCCTGCCCTGAGAACAGCCACTACGAGCTCTGTGGCCCACCCTGCCCGGCCAGCTGCCCGTCCCCCACGCCCCCCACCACCACAGCCCTGTGTGAGGGCCCCTGCACCGAGGGCTGCCAGTGTGACTCGGGCTTCGTGTTCAGTGCCGACCGCTGCGTTCCCCTGGATGGCGGCTGCGGCTGCTGGGCCAACGGCGCCTACCACGAGGCAGGCAGCGAGTTCTGGGCGGATGCCACTTGCTCCCAGTGGTGCCACTGCGGGCCTGGCGGTGGCTCGCTGGTCTGCAAGCCTGCCAGCTGTGGGCTAGGTGAACAGTGTGCCCTGCTGCCCTCGGGCCAGTATGGCTGCCAGCCTGTCAGCACAGCTGAATGTCAGGCCTGGGGCGACCCCCATTACACCACCCTGGACGGGCACCGATTCGACTTCCAGGGCAGCTGCGAGTACCTGCTGAGTGCACCCTGCCACGCACCCCCCGCGGGAGCTGAGAACTTCACGGTCACTGTAACCAATGAGCACCGGGGCAGCCAGGCTGTCAGCTACACCCGAAGCGTCACCCTGCACATCTACGGCCACAGGCTGACCCTCAGCGCCCAGTGGCCCCGGAAGCTGCAGGTGAGGGGTCTGTGGGCCAGGCAGGAGCACGTGCTGGCCCTGGGGTTGCCTGGGACAGGGAGGGGTCTGCCATTGCCCTGATTACCTTTCACAGGTTAGCGCGGGCATGATGCAGGGGTTCAGAGTACAGGCCTTGGAGCTCGGTGGCTTGGAGCAGCGGCTTCCCCATCTCTGAGCTTTAGTTTATTCCTCTGTCAAATGGGTCTGAGAAAAGCGCCTGCTTCAGAGGGTACAGTGAGGAGCCAGTGACTCTGTGTCTATAGATGCTCATTATTATTATTACTGCTATTATTATTACAAGGGCGGAGGTCACGTGCTCAGGGTTCCATCTCCCCTCCGCCGCCCACCCCGGGAGGTAGTGGAGCCCGGATTCGAGCCGGTGTCCCCGCCGATCACTACCCCCAGCCCCACCCCCGCGCCCGCAGGTGGACGGCGAGTTCGTGGCGCTGCCCTTCCAGCCGGACTCGCGCCTGAGCGCGTACGTGAGCGGCGCGGACGTGGTGGTGACCGCGGCCGCCGGGCTCTCGCTGGCTTTCGACGGGGACAGCAACGTGCGCCTGCGCGTGTCTTCGGCCTACGCGGGCGCCCTCTGCGGCCTGTGCGGGAACTACAACCGGGACCCCGCCGACGACCTGACGGCGGTGGGCGGGGACCCGAGCGGCTGGCAGGTGGGCGGCGCCGCGGGCTGCGGGGAGTGCGTGCCCGGGCCGTGCCCGGAGCCCTGCAAGCCCGAGGAGCAGAAGCCCTTCGGCGGTCCCGACGCCTGCGGCGTGATCTCGGCCACTGACGGCCCGCTGGCGCCCTGCCACTCCCTCGTGCCGCCCGCGGAGTACTTCCAGGCCTGCTTGCTGGACGCCTGCCAGGCTCAGGGCCATCCCGGGGCCCTCTGCCCCGCGGTGGCCGCCTACGTGGCCCTCTGCCAGGCCGCTGGGGCCCAGCTCGGCGAGTGGAGGCGGCCGGACTTCTGTCGTGAGTACCGATGCGTGCATGCACGGTCCGCACACTGGGGGGTCCCCGCCGCCCCCTTCCCGGGACTCTGAGACAAGAGCCTGCTCCCGCTCCGTGGGGCTTAGTCACCACCCTGCATCCCGTGAGCCAGACGTCTCCTGTCAAAGAAACACCTTTGCGTTCTCACACTGAAATACACCAGGTCACATAGTATGCAGTGGGACACACTGGGATACACTGGGTCAGAAACCCTGGGTCCAGTCCGCTGTTGGGGATTCATGCGGCTCAGAGATCCTGGGCTGGGGCGGCTAACCCTGTCACAGGTACACAGCGAGATGGCCCTGGTCAACTAGATTCTGTCAGGTACCCCTGTTCAGAGAGACCTGGTGAGTCACACCTAGCCCTATGCCCCTAGACTGTCACACAGTGAAATACAGAGGGTCAGATAGAATTGGTCCGATAACCTCAGACGGGGACTCCTCTGGTTAGATTTGCCCTGAGACACACCTGGGCAGAGGTGCCCAGGTAGAATCATGACCCTGACTTAGCCGCAGGCCGATACATACCGGTTCATGGTCAGATGGTCCCAGCAGGTCCATTTAGGCTGATCTCCTCTGTTAGATTTATCCTGTCGGCTGCATCTATGAGATACACAGGGTCAGAGTCACACACTGACGCAGACCCTGTCAGAGGCTCCAGGTCAGACGTCCACAGCCGGGCACACTCAGACAGGTTCATACCCCAAGATATATCCAGCCTCATACCCCAGTCAGATTCGGACACAGCTGGTTTTAATCCTGCATCTCTTGGTCAGATACACATGGTCAAATTCGCCCATTCAGTCACTTGATCTTTAGAAACGCTCCATCCGATTGACACGCAGCCTGGCCAGAGAGACCTGGTACCCAGCTCCCACCCTAAACCCCCTGGCACATGTAGGGGATCAGATACCCAGCTCAGATCCCTGGGCACACTCACTCATGGAGTATTTTCAGGCAGAACATACAGATTCACTAGGCAGGTTCTCGCAGCGTGCCTCCCCCTGTCCCCCACCCTCACTCCTGCCTGGCTCATTCCCATCTTGTCCCCACAGACGTCCAGTGCCCTGCCCACAGCCACTACGAGCTCTGCGGGAACTCCTGCCCTGTGAGCTGCCCCAGCCTCTCGGTGCCTGAGGACTGTGAGCCGACCTGCCGTGAGGGCTGCGTCTGCAATGCCGGCTTCGTGCTCAGCGGTGACAGCTGCGTGCCTGTGGGCCAGTGTGGCTGCCTGTACAACGGCCGCTACTACCCGCTGGGCGAGGCCTTCTACCCAGGCCCTGAGTGCGAGCGGCGCTGTGAGTGCGGACAGGGCGGCCTCGTCAGCTGCCAGGAGGGCGCGGCCTGCAGGCCCTACGAGGAGTGCCGGATAGAGGACGGTGTCCAGGCCTGTCACCCTACAGGCTGTGGCCGCTGCCTGGCCAATGGGGGCATCCACTACGTCACCCTCGATGGACGTGTCTATGACCTGCATGGCTCCTGCTCCTACGTCTTGGCCCAAGTCTGCCACCCGCAGCCTGGAGACGAGGACTTTGCCATCATGCTTGAGAAGAATGAGGCCGGAGATCCCCAACGCCTGCTGGTTATCGTGGCTGACCAGGTTGTGGGCCTGACTCAGGGGCCGCAGGTAGGTGGACATGGCCCTGCCCTGAAGGTCTGAAGGGGTAACCCGCCACCCTGGGGATTTTGAGGGAGATGTGACCCCACCCCAAGGGGACTGAGAGGGACACAGATCTGTCCTGGGGATCTGAGGAGGACACAGCCCTGCCCTGGGGAGTCTGTGGGGACATGGCCCACCCTGGGGGTTTGAGAGGGACATGGCCCCACCCCAAGGGGACTGAGAGGGACACAGCTCCACCCTGAGAATCTGAGGGGACTACCTTACCTGTGGTCCTGTGAGTCCTGACCGCCTCCTAACCCTGTCACCCAGGTCACTGTGGACGGCGAGGCCGTGACCCTGCCTGTGGCTGTGGGCGCCGTGCGGGTGACCGCCGAGGGCCGGAACATGGTTCTGCAGACGACCAAGGGGCTGCGACTTCTCTTTGATGGCGATGCCCACATCCTCATATCCGTCCCCAGCCCCTTCCGCGGCCGGCTCTGCGGCCTCTGTGGGAACTTCAATGGCAACTGGAGCGACGACTTTGTCCTGCCCAGTGGCACCGTGGCCCCCAGCGTGGAGGCCTTCGGAGCCGCATGGCGGGCACCCAGCTCCCTCCAGGGCTGCGGCGAGGGCTGCGGGCCGCAGGGCTGCCCCGTGTGCCTGGCCCAGGAGACGGCAGCCTACGAGAGCACCGAGGCCTGCGGGCGCCTCCGGGACCCCGAGGGCCCCTTCGCGGGCTGCCATGCCGAGCTGAGCCCCTCCGAGTACTTCCGCCAGTGCGTGTACGACCTGTGCGCCCACAAGGGTGACAGGTCCTTCCTGTGCAGCAGCATGGCAGCCTACACTGCGGCCTGCCAGGCGGCCGGCGGTGCCGTGACGTCCTGGAGGACAGACAGCTTCTGCCGTGAGTGTCCCTGGGCCCTCAGGGGACTCCAGAGCAGGCTTGGGGGGGCGCCCTCTGGCCTGCTGACTGGCCCTTCTCAGACCCCTTTCAGGGGCCCGCTGTCCTGAACCCTCCAATGCAGCTCTTCCTCAGGGCTCATCCTGGACCCTTTCTGTGGGGACCCGGGAGGGCGCGTCCAGTGGGTCAGAGGCTCAACCACAGAGCCTGAGTCTGTGGCTCCCCCAGACCCCCCAGAGTGGGACCACCATCCTCTGTGATCCTCCAGGACAAGGCTGCAGCCCCTCAGACCCCCAGCCCAGGGCTGTTCCCCTCAGAGACCCCTGGTTAGGGGTATCTGTTTCCTTCAAACCCCCATGGCGGGGCCGCGTCCCCTCAGGCTCTCTAAGGCAGTGGCCCCTCATCCCCCGGGGCAGGGCTGTGTCCCTTTCTCTGTCCTCAGGGTGGGACCCACGTCCAGGGCCATCGTCCACCTCCACAGCCTTAGATTTGTCCTCAGTGCTGACAGTGGACACTGTCTGTCTCCGGCTCTGACCTCTCTCTTGACTGCCAGCCTCAGGGGTCCAGTGGCCTCCTGGACACTTTCGCTTGGTGTCCTTAGGGTCCCTCACACCTGCTGTGTCCCCATATGACACCGGCATTTCACCCAAAATCTCATCCTCTTATTCCTGGATGCTGGTCCTCATCTCTGGGCAGCCGAACCCTCCACCAATGGCTCAGCCAGAGCCCAGGGCCCGCCTCCCCCACCGCCGGTCCTCACAGCTCCCTGTTTTGCCCCACTCCGGCCCCAAACCCTCTGCTTGTGCTTCCCCCATCCTGGTCCTCACCACCCTGTCTGTAGGTCCCCAGTGCAGCCCTGATCACGCTGGGACGTCACTGTCTGTCCGCTGGTATGAGCTCCGTAGGGCAGGGCCTGCGTCTGTCTTCATGGCTTCTGTCCCCAGCACCGCCAGCCCACTCACTAGTGGGTGCCCGTGTGACGCCACCCGCCCCCTCTCCCTGCAGCGCTCGAGTGCCCCGCACACAGCCACTACTCCGTCTGCACGCGCTCCTGCCGGGGCTCCTGCGCCGCCCTCTCTGGCCTCACGGGCTGCACCAGCCGCTGCTTTGAGGGCTGTGAGTGCGACGACCGCTTCCTGCTGTCCGACGGTGTCTGCATCCCCATCCAGGACTGCGGCTGCACCCATGCTGGCCGATACCTGCCGGTGAGCCGGGGCTGGAGGTGGGCAGGGAGGGTGGAGGAGCTTAGCGGGGACTCGGAGCTGCTGTGTGACCCCCTCAAGGGGAGGACAGAGGAGCTGCCACCATTTCCTACCTGTGGCTCAACGCTGGGCATGTCCCCGTATTAGATTCCTGCGGCTGCTGTGACAGATGATCATCAACTGTGTGGCTTAAAACGAGCAATTTATTCTCCCACAGTTCTGGAGGCCAGACGTCAGAAATCAGTATCACTGGGCCAAAATCAAGGTGTCCGCAGGGCCCCACTCCTTCTAGGGGCTCTAGGGGAGAAGCCATTCCTTGCCTCTCCCAGCTTCTGGTGGCTGCCGGCATTCCTTGGCTTGTGGCCGCATCACTCTAGTTTCTGCTTCCGTGTGACATTCCCCTCCTCATCTGTGTGACGTAAAATTTCTCTCTGCCTCCCCCTTATAAAGATACATGTGGCTGCATTTAAGGCCCACCCAGATAATCCAGGATAATCTCTCCATCTCAAGATTTTTAATTTAATCACATCTATAATCACCCTTTTTCCGTATAGGGTGACATGTACTGGTTGCAGGCATTGGGACCTATATCTTGGGAGGGGGCATCATTCGGCCTATTACAGTCCCCTCCCTGAGCCGCCTTTACCTCATCTTGGGCCGTAAGTGTCTGAGGACCGGGTGTGGCTGTGCATGAAATGCACCCGCTGGGCACTGGGCCTCGCCCTCCACATTCATCACGCTCAGTAAAAAGAATAGCAAGTTACAACAGCGCAGCGTTAGCTCAGCTAACAATCGTGTAATAATGTGAATTGCAAGTTAATAGTTGACTTTTTTTGTTGTTATTTTTTGAGCTCTTCCCAGGCACCCAGTTGGTTACAGATGTTAATTCCCTTCATAATCACGACAGTCCTATGAGATGGGTACTGTTGTTATTTTCCCCGTTTTACGGATCAGGAAAGTGTGACAAAGGGAAGTCAGCCCTAGGCTCCGCATTAGCCAGGAGTGATGGGGGTTCACACCCCAGCAGCCTTGGGCACACCCTCTGAACTGCGACGCGTCCCACTTCTTCAAAAGCATATTTCTCAAATCAAGGAAAGGTAGCTAACCACACCCCATCCTCATTTGGCCCAGTTTTATTCATGGCAAAGAGGTGGGCTGGAGGGTCTGGCAGTCCAGGATTTCTCGGGAAGGAGATGCCAAACTTCTGCTCCTTCTTTCCAATCTCACCGCCTCCAGGAAGCCCTCCTTGATCCCTGAGGCTGGGTTAGGTGTCTCCTCTGGGCTCCCACAATCCCCTGGGCCTCCCCAGCACAGCCCTCACCACTCTGGCCGTGCGAGAAGGTTTCCTATCGGGAGTCGCTGCCGAGTCGCTCTGCGTGGCTCCAGAGGGTTGAAGGCCACCACGCCCCCCTCACCCGGCCCCTTTCTTTGCGCAGGTGAACTCCTCCCTGCTGAGCTCAGACTGCAGCGAGCGCTGTTCCTGTTCCGCCAGCGCCGGCCTGACGTGTCAGGCGGCCGGCTGCCTGCTAGGCCGCGTGTGTGATGTTCAGAGTGGCGTCCGAGACTGCTGGGTCCGCCAGGGTCTCTGTTCCCTCTCCGTGGGTGCCAACCTCACCACCTTCGACGGGGCCCGCAGTGCCATCGGCTCCTCCGGCGTTTATGAGGTCTCCTCCCGCTGCCCGGGACTACGGGCGACCGTCCCCTGGTACCGTGTGCTCGCTGGCGTCTGGCCCTGCCATGGCAAAGATAAAGCTGTAGGCCAGGCCCACATCTTCTTCCAGGACGGGCTGGTGACTGTGACCCCAAACAACGGCGTGTGGGTAAGCCTGGGCACAGGGGGCTGTCTCCTCTGGGCTTTGTTCTTCCCGTTGCAGTGTCCCTGCCTTCCTGGCTGCCTGTCTGGCTTGCTGTCTGTTTTTGTGATCCAGATCTCTGCAGTTTGGTCTCTGGATTTGTATTTGTCTCAATATCTCCAGCTTAGTCCCTCTGTTCTGGCTGAGTTGTTGAGGAGCAAAAACACACTCAAGTAACTTACTAGTTTTGATATTAGTATTAATCAAGACTCTATTGGTTGCAGGTGGAAGAAAACCAAATTCAGATTGCCTTAAACAAAAATGAATTTATTGGCCCACATAACTAGAAAAATCCAAGGATGGAGCCTCAGGAATGGCTGGATCCAGGTGCCCTGGCAGTATTATCTGGATTTGTACCTCTATCTTTTAGACTTGCTGTTCACCCAATCAGCTTCATTCTCAGACAGGCTTTCCCCTCACAGGGACAGAGACAACCCCCAGCTGCCCCATCCTGCCACTTAGCTACCTCAGCAGGAAGTGGTCCAACCAAAGCCCCAGGATTATTTCTGACTGGGCTAGTTTGGGTCACATACCCACCTGTGGAGCAAATCCCTGTGACCTTAGGGATGGAATGCTGACCATCCCCAAGACTGCCCCAGGGTTCAGTGACTCACTAAGAGGACTCGCAGGACTGAGCGTATCATCATGCTTTGGGTAAGATTTATTACACTGGAAGGAAACAGAGGAGAATCAGCAGCAGGAAAAAGTACAGGGAGACCAGGTAAGGCTTCCAAGCCCTCTCCCCATGGAGTCACCCAGGACGTGCTTAACGCCTCCCACAGTAAGTTGTGACAAAACGTGTGGACTCTCTGCCGGGGAAGCTCATTAGAGACTCAGCGCCCAGGGTTCTCGTGGGGGGCTGGTCCCGTGGGCACCCTCTGCCTCCGGCATACCGAAATTTCAGACTCCGGAAGGAAAGCAGGCGTTCAGCGTAAACCATACTGATCGTATGAACAATCCGGGTTCCCAGATCTCAGCCAAGGGCCGGCGTTGCCAGCAGCCTTTCTCAGGACAGCGGCCTCAGGCCTGCTGTGTGAACGCTTTTCCGCACACACACCCAGCATGTTGCTGGGCTGAGAGTGGGAGGCTGCTGGGCACCCACGGGAATGTCAGAGGGAAGTTCTCCGACCAGATGAGAGTGCTGTAGATGCTGGATGAGCAAAAGCAACAGCTGACCACTTCAACAACAATATGAGTATTAATAATAACTGATGTATTCAGTATTTATTGATGCCTAACAAATTACCCCAAAACTTAGCAGCTTAAAACTACACACATTCTCTCACACCGTTTTTGAGGGTCAGGAACACAAGGGGTTCTGACTTGGGGGCTCTCGTGAGGTTGCAACCAAGCTCTTGAGTTGGGCTGTGGGTCCGGAAGACTTGCTTGGGGCTGGGGCTGGCGGTTCCACTTCCAAACTCCCTCACGTGCGTGTTGACAGGAGGCTTCAGTTGCTCGCCACGTGGGCCTCTCTACATGGGCTGCTCGCAACGTGGCTTCCCCCAAAGTGAGTGACCCAAAGAGAGAGCGCCCCCGAGACAGAAGTCTTCATATCCTGCAATCTCAGAAGTGACATCCCATCCTTTGTTCCTTATCCTGTTAGTCATGCAGACCAAACTCCACCCAGTGTGGGAGGAGAGGTGGGATCGTTGGGGGCCATTTTGGAGGCCGGCAACCACAGCCCACAACTACTGGAGTCTTAGGCTTTGCCAGGCTCTTTGCCAGTCACACTCAAGGCTGGTGACTCCCCACAATATACCCACAGGACAGGGGCTGTTATTGTCCCCATGTTACAGGGAGGGAAATCTAGGGCCCAAGACGGTGAAGCCATTTTCTCAAGTCACTCAGAGAGTGCCTAGGAGATCCAGGCTTTGAACCCACCAGCACCCACGCTCTTAACCGTTTGATGGGAACGGGGTGCTGGTGCTGACTGTGTGGACATGGAGACCAACATGGATTCCAAGTGCAGTGCTCTGTGGGAACTTCCCCTGGCCTCTGTCAATTCCAGGCCACTTGACCCTTCCCTCAACTGTCCTCCAGCTTTCTCTTAGAGACCTCCTCAGGCCTTTCATTGTTTGCCTCATGAGTCCACGCCAGCCAGTGCCCCCTCTCTTCTGCCCCTTGACTTCGTGTCACTTACAACTGCTTTGCATTTGACAATCCCCATGGTTCTCACCACCCCAGTTCCAAATTTCTGAGAGAGAGAATTGTTTGGCCTCCCTGAGGGCTGATGCCGAATCAGTGCAATGAGCCATGGCCTGTGTGGTAGAGCCCAAGACCCAAACACAGATGTCAGGCTGCACTGACGTCCCCAGATGAGCGTGTCTCTATTTTCCTGATCTATTTCTTGATTGCAGAGACATCCACGGGTGTCTTCTGGGTCCCGTGGGAAGATACAGCCAATGCTCCGCACACTCCTCCCCCAGTGGATGCTCTTCATCCTCCCACCACTGTGTGGGGATGGTCCCAGACTCAGCCCTGCTGGAAGCAGCCATCAGTAGAGTATGATCCTCAGGTGGACAGGGATCCTGTCCGTCTTGGTCATCACCTTGTCCCCAGGACCCAGATCAGGGTCTGGTGCCTAAAGGGTACCCAGGAAAAGTTCGGTTTTGTGAATGCATTTCATCCCTGTTCCCTCTGCGCCAGGCTGTGTGCTAGGTAACACAGATGACTCCGACTCAGCTCTTTCCAAGCTTGCAGCCTGGTGAAATTCTCCATCCACTTTTCCAGCTATCCTTTACTGCATCCATCCTTCCTTCTTCTCTCCATCCTTCCAGCCATCTATTCTTCCACCTCTCTTTCCTTTTTCCCCCCTCTCTCTCTCCTCCCTTCTTCCTTCCGTCCTTTATTCCACCCACCCATCCATCCATCCACCCATCCATCCATCCATCCACCCACCCACCCATCCATCCATCCATCCATCCATCCATCCACCCACCTGTCCGTCTGTCCACCCACCCATCCATCCATCCATCCACCCACCCATCCATCCATGTTTTCAGATCTATCTACCTATCTATCTCCTTATCTCTCCAATCATCTGGCAGAGGAAGACTCAGATACAAAAGCATTTAGGAAAAAAGAACCCTACTTTCAAAGAAGATTAGCTAGGGAGTCTAACTTTAGAAGGATTAACGCTTCAATGAAAACAGACAAGTTATTTAAAGGAAAAAACTCACAAGGTTACCAAGGTTACTGAGTCCACAGCCTATGATAGAGAAACAAGAATTTTCTCACATGGTTATTATACTTGCTAGGCTATTACTTGTCTTCAGACATCAGCACTGAAAAAATAAGGCATCAAGTTGCCATTTTAGGCGACTAGTAACTTACAGGACATCCTTAAGCATTCTTTTAGTTTGAAAGCTAGAACCAGACGGAATTACATTGAAGTTTGATTGTTTGTCTGTCTGGTTCGAAGTGCTTCCTCTCCGCCCTGGCCGACCTTGGAATGTTGTGTGCATGCCTATTTATCCACAGATCCATCTCTCCCTCCATCCACTCTCTGTCCTTCTATCCATCCGTCCAGATCTCCAACCATCTTATATATGCTCCTCCCCAGGTCATCATTTCTCTCAGCACCTGCCTCTCTGCTTTTGCCCGTCGAACTTGTTATCTTGCTTGGGGCCTCCATCCTGGTACCAGCCCAGCTATTCTGTGGCTCTGGCCTCACCTCTGTGTCCCTGCCCCTCTCCCCCAGGTGAATGGCCTCCGAGTGGATCTCCCAGCCCAGGTGTTAACATCTGTGTCCGTGAGTCAGAATCCCGATGGCTCCGTGCTAGTCCAGCAGAAGGCAGGAGTCCGCGTGTGGCTTACCACTGACGGGCAGCTGGCTGTGATGGTCAGCGATGAGCATGCTGGGAAGCTGTGTGGCGCCTGCGGAAACTTTGATGGGGACCAGACCAATGATGGGCGTGGCTCTCAGGGGAAGACAGGAGTGGAGAGCTGGAGAGCGCCAGACTTCTACCCATGGTGAGGGGCGTAGCATGAAAGCCAGGCTCCTTGGGGCAGGGGCACCTGGGTCCTCATGGGAAGGGGACAGTTGGGATGGGTGCTCCGTCTGCAAGAGGAAATGCTAAGTGTCTGTCTCTTGCAGTCACGACTGATCAGTCATCCAGTCATCCAGGAATGAGGACTTCAGGACCTGATTCCCCTGGAGGCTGCAGTAACTGAAGGATGCACTGTGTCACTGTGCCCCTACCCTGCTCTACCCCTTTGCTCAGCCACTGAGACCAACTGTGAGACCATTGAATAAATATCTTAAGCTAAGCAACATGCCAATGTGTCTGTCTTATGCCTTCTTGTCCCTGACTTTCCTTCTTGCACAGCAGATGTCATATGCCTGGGGAATCTGGCACATGATGAGTGTTTATTAGGGGGTGAAAGGATGGATGAATGGATGGATGGGTGGATGGATGGATGGATGGTTGGATGGATGGATGAATGGATGGATGGTTGGATGGATGGATGGTTGGATGGATGGATGGTTGGATGGATGGATGGATGGATGGATGAAGACATAGATGGGTGTATTGGGAGAGGGATGGGTGGGGAAATGGATGATTAGAAGAATGGATGGATGAGAAGATAAATGATTGGATGGAGGGAAGGAGTACAAAATGGGAAGAGAGATCAACAGATTCTAGCTTTGTCATTTATAACCCTAGCAAGTTAATTTCTCTGTCACTCAGCTTCCTCATATGTCTTAATCCATTCAGGCTGCTGTGACAAAACACCCTAGCCTGGCTGGATTATAAACAGAAATGTATTTCTCACAGTTCTGGAGACTGGGAAGTCCAAGATCAAGTCACCGGCAGATTCCATGTCTGGAGAGAGCCTGCCTCCTAGTTCACAGATGGCTGTCTTATGTGTCCTCACGGGGTGGAAGGACAAGGGAGTTCTCTGGGACCTCTGTTAAAGGCACTAATCTCATTCATGGAGACTCCACCCTCATGGCCTCATCACCTCCCAAGTACCGTAAAATACCATGCAAATACCATCACATTGGGGATTAGGTTCCAACGTGGATTTTGAGGCGACTCAAACATTCAGTCAATAGCATCATCTTTAGAGTTAATGACAGTACCTACCTAACGGAGTTGGAGTGAGGACTTAATGTGTTCATCCAATCCACAAGTCAAAAATCCACTTCCAAACCTGTCCCCATCCCTTCCCATGATGGTCTTCCCCGCCTCAGTGAACAGCACTACCAGTACTCAGTCCGGCAGCCGGAAAATGGGGAATTCTTGATTCCTCTCTCCCCTTTGTGCTTCATTCAGTTCATCAACAGATCCTGTTGGGTTGTATCGAAATACACCTGGGTTCTGCCTGGCTTCCTTATCCTGCCCAGCTGGTGCAGCCACCATCCTCACTCTTGCTGACCTCACCAGTAGCCTACTCTCTGCCCTTCTCCTTCTGTAATCCATCCTCCCTGCCACTGGACAACTCTTCTTAATGTATAAATAGGACCATTAGCTATAAACTGCTCTTATAATAAAATCAAATTCCTTCACCCTGTCCTACAAGGCCCCTGCCCACCTTTTCTGACTCATTTCCTATCGCTGTCCTCCTTGCCAATTATGATTTGGGAATCTGATCTTTCAGTTTATTGAACGTCTCAAGTTTCCCCACTTCAGTCCTTGGCAATATACTGTTCCCTGCACTCGTCACGTGACTGGCTGCTTCTCATCCTTCAAATGTAAGCTTACGTGTTACTACCTTAGAGAGGCCTTCCGTGACCACCTCACTTAAAATAGGTTCCCTCTGTCCCAGACACTTGCTTCCCTCCTTCCTCCCTAGCATTTATGACACTTTAAAATTACTTTTGCTTGACTTTCTGCCCAGTTAGAAATAACTCAAGGGCAGAGACTGTATTTGCTTCATTCACCACTTTATTCCCAGAACCTAGCACATAGTTGGTGCCCAGTACATATTTGTTGAATGAATAAATGACCAACCAAAAACGTAGAGGAAAGATTTGTGACATACCTAAGAAAGGATTAATATCCACAATATGCAAAGAGCTCCTTCAAATCAATAAGAAAAAGACAACAGCCCAATTAGAAAAAAATGGGTTGAGGACATAAACAGACAATTGACAGAAAAAGAAATCTAAATATGTTGAATGCAATCAGTATGTCAGGTTATTCATGAAAAGTATTTCTGAGCTTCACAACAACCCTGCAAAAGAGTATAGATATAAAGAAATGGGCTTAGTGGGGTTAAATAACTTGCCCAAGGGCAAACAGCTTGTAGTGATGGGACCTAGATTTGAGTCCAGCTATGTCTGTCACTAAAGCCAGCCCTTCCCTCTGAATCTTGCTGTTGAGTCTCACCCAGGCTCAATTTCCTTCCAAGAAAAAGAATCGAGAGATCCTAAAAATAAAGAAGAAAAACGAATAATCCAATAGAAATAGGCAAGAGATCTGAATAGTTCTTAGAAAAAAGAAATACAAATGGCACTTAAAGATAAGAAATTCTTAGTCTTGCCCATATTAAGAGAAATGCAAATTAGATTACCTCAAGACACCACTCCTCACTTATCAGATAGCCAAAAACACAAAAACTCGACAATCTAATTTATTAACAAGACTCTGAGGACAAGAATACTTTCACGTGTTCCCAGGGGGAATGCAAAAATGTGTAAGTCCAATTCAGGGAAATTTGGCAGTATCTTGCAAAATTACAGATGCATTTTTCTCTTGACCTAGCAACTCGCTACTAGGAATCCAACCCAAAGATACAATGGCAGGATGTAAGCCCGAGGCTGTTCCTCACAGCGTGCTGCAGGATGGACAAGACCGGAATAACTCAGCTGTCGGTCAGTAGGGGACTGGTTGAGTAAACGATGGTTCATCTAGTGATGGACAACTCTGCAGGTGAATGAAAAATACTGAAGTGCTCTACTCTGTTCTGGAGTGATCTCCAGGACATGTTATGAAGCAAAGAAAGGAAGGTTAGAACCATGTACATAATAAAAGAGACCTAGCAGAAGAGGCACAAGGGGGCTTTGGTCTGTTTGTTGACCTGGGTGGTGGTTATGTGGGTTGTTCCCTTTGAGATTAACTCCTAAAGTGGCACACTTTTGTGCAATTTTTTTTTTAAGGATTGGCATCTGGGCTAACAACTGTTGCCAATCTTTTCTTTTTTTTTTTTTCTGCTTTATCTCCCCAAACGCCCCCTGTACATAGTTGTATATCTTAGTTGCAGGTCCATCTAGTTGCGGGATGCAGGACGCCGCCTCAGCGTGGCGTGCCCAGGATCCGAACCCTGGGCCGCCACAGCAGAGCATGTGAACTTAACCACTCGGCCACGGAGCCGGCCCCTTGTGCGTTTTTTTGTAAGCAGGTTTTACTTTCAAAAAGAATTTTAAAAAAATAAATTATACTCCCTGAAGATTCTTAGCCAAAAAAATGAATGTTTGTATGTGTGTGTGAGAGAGAGAACAACCAAACTAGGGGAACTTGTTTGGACTCTGAATTGATCAAGCAGCAATTTTTAAAAATCCCATTTTTAGGCCATTGAGGAAATAGGAATATGCATGTGTCACTAGATTAGATAAAGGACTTCTTGTTAATTTTAAGTGTGATAATGTAAGAAAATGTCTTCTCTTTCTTTTTTGTTTTTTTAAAGATTGGCACCTGGGCTAACAACTGTTGCCAATCTTTTTTTTTTTTTCTGCTTTATTTCCCAACCCCCCCGTACACAGTTGTATATCTTAGTTGCAGGTCCTTCTAGTTGTGGGATGTGGGACGCTGCCTCAAGGTGGCCTGACGAGCGGTGCCATGTCCGTGCCCAGGATCCGAACCCTGGGCCGCCACAGCAGAGCGCGCGAACTTAACCACTCGGCCACAGAGCCAGCCCCTGTCTTCTCTTTCTTAAGAGATGCATACTTAAGCATATGAAGATGAAATGGCATAATATTGAGATTTGCTTTAAAATTAGCAGAAAAAAAAGGTGGGGTAATATACAAGGCTGACAAAGTGTTGATAGTTGTTGAAGCTGGGTGATGAGTAAATGGGAAATTCTTGTATTCTCTACTTTTGTGTAGGATTTAAAATTTTGTTATCAAATTTTTTCTTTTTTGAGGAAGATTAGCCCTGAGCTAACTGCTGCCAATCCTCCTCTTTTTGCTGAGGAAGACTGGCCCTGAGGTAACATCCATGCCCACCTTCCTCTACTTTATATGTGGGATGCCGACCACAGCATGGCTTGCCAAGCGATGCCATGTCCACACCCAGGATCCGAACTGGCGAACCCTGGGCCACCAAGGAGCAGAACGTGCAGACTTACCCGCTGCGCCACCGGGCGGGCCCCTCAATTTTTTTTTTTTTTGATTAATTGAGTCGTGAAGGTCTCAGTCATAACAGCCTCCGAAGAGTTCAGCACACTTGGTCCTAATTTGGGTTTTCACTGAAGGGTGTATGTAACACTGGCCCTCATGACTCCGCTGTGGACATTCCTTCATTCATTCCATAAATGGCTTTGAGCACCGACTACATGTTAAATTTGAGATATCTTGTGTTAAGCTGAAAATTGCTCCAGAAAGACCAATCACATGATTAGAGGGTTGGAACTTTCAGCACCACCTCCCCACACCTCTGGGAAGCGGAGGTGGACTGGCGATGGAGTTAATCATCAATTGGTCAATCATTTAATCAATCATACCTGTGTGATGAAACCTCCATAAAAATCCTAAACAACTGGGTTGGGAGAGCTGGGTTGGTGAACACATCGAGGTGCTCAGAAGGTGGCAGGCCCGGAGAAGGCATGGAAGCTCCATACCGCTTTCTCCATACCTTGCCCTATGCGTCTCCTCCATTTGGCTGTTACTGAGTTGTATCCTTTTTCCTGAGTCTTGTGAGATGTTCTAGAAAATTATTGACCAGAGGAGAGGGGCGTAGGCTCTCCCGATTTACAGCCAGTCGGTCAGAAGTGTGGGTGGCCTGGACTTGCCACTGGAGTCTGAAGTGGGGGCAGTCTTGTGGGACTGAGCCCTTAACTTGGGGGGGTCTGCGCTAACTCTGGGTAGTGTCCAAATTGAGCTAAATTGTAGGACACCAGTTGGAGCCCGCAGAGAACTGGAGAATTGCTTGGTGTGGAAAACTCATATATTTGGTATCAAAAGTGCAGGGTGTGAGTACAGAGACAATTTTCCTTTACAGCATGTGAGGTGGCAGGCAGCAGTTAATTTCTTGTGATTGTTTCTATCTTTTCATTCAAGTGGGAAGCAAGGTCATTAGCTAGGAGTGAGAAAGGAGGAGAATGTTCTGAGGTTTGATGAGAGAGGGGTAAGTGTAAAATAACCCTCCAGGAAAACAAGTCCAGCCACTTTAGAAAATAGTGTGTCAGTTTCTTAAGATGATGAACATACTCTTACCATATGACTCAGTCATTTGACTCCTAGGACTCTTCTCAAGAAAAATGAAAGCACGTGTCCACAAAAATATTTGTACATGAGTGTTCATAGCAGCATTATTCACAATAAACAAAAACTAGAAACAAATCGAATGTCCATCAATAGATGAATGGATAAATGAAATGTGGTATAGCCATACAATGGAATCCTCAGCAATAGAAAGGAATGAATGGAGCCAGCCCTGATGGCCTCATGGTTAAATTTCAGCGTGTTCCACTTCAGCAGTCCAGGTTTGGTTCCCAAGTGTGGAACCACATCTCTTGTCTGTCAGTAGCCATGCTATGCTGGAGGCTCACACAGAAGAACTAAAAGAATTTACAACTGTACACAACTATGTACTGGGGCTTTGAAGGGGAAAAAGGAGGAAGATTGGCAACAGATGTTAGCTTAGGGTGAATCTTCCCCTGCAAAAAAATTTTTTTTTAATTTTTATAAAGGAATGAATGACTGATACATGCGACAACACAGAACATGATGCTAAGTGACAAAAGCCAGACTCAGAAGACTACACATTGTATGATTCCGTTTGTGTGAAATGAGATGATGGAAGTGTTCTGAAACTAGATTGTGATGATGGTTGCACAACTGTATCAATTTACTAGAATTCATTGAACTGCACACTTAAAATAAGTGGATTTTATGGTATGTAAATTATGCCTTAACAAATCATTTAAAAATTAACGCATTACTAATACTACTAATAGGAAAAAAAAATAAAATGGGAGAATGAATGGATTCCGGACAAGTGATAGGATGGCTGGGCAGCACTGGGGGGCCACTGGGTTTGCAGTCGTGAATCCAAAGTGAGACCAGCGAGAGTGGGTGTGTGTTTTTCTCCATCCACATTCAGCTGCCAGGATGCAGGGGCAGAGGAGCTGGACAGTGGACTCAGTTGGGTGAAAAAGGCAGTTAGAAAAGAGCACATAGTGTGAGGGTGTGAGCAAGGGAGTGGTGATCATGCTGGCTGGGGACTCAGGCTGGGCGGCGGGAGTGACGTGGTCACGAGGGGGTGAGGGGCAGGGAAAAGGTGGTCAGCTAAACGACTTGTTGGAGCTGAAAGATCATTGGAACAATAGCTTTAGAGGGGGTGAGCTAGAGAGACAGGAGGTGATGGGCAGACAGCGAGACGCATAGACCTGAGATTCTGCAGGGTGTCAGCTTAAAAAGCCAATTTGCCTATTATCTTACCCTCAAAATGAGTTTATTCGGGAATAGCCAAAAGAATTGCAACTTACTACCTGCAGGCTATGGGGAATCACGGGCAAACTGGGAAAACAAAGCAGGAAAACTTGCTTTTATAGAGAAAAAGGGGTAGTAGGGAGGGGCTGTTCTAAATGAAAGTCCATTGGGGGAAAGTAACAGTTCAGGGCGGCAGTGGCTTCTCATTGGCTGAGTTACAGGGCTTCCCATTGGCTGGGCTGTTGCCAGGCAGGGAGAGAAATCTTCCCTCCGTGGTAAAGCAGTTGCACTTCCTGCGGGAGGTGCAAGCTGAGTCTTTTCCTGTTTGGAGTAATTGAGGATGTACCACAGGGCAGGAGAGTGCTCCCTTAAAGGCCTTCCCGACTCCAGTTTCGTTGAGGTTTCCTTTATTAATTTCCACAAGGGGCTGCAGTTTGGGGGCTGTCACCGTCTGGGGACGAGTCTTTCTCCCCCACCAGGCTGGAACAATCACCATTGTGTCCTCAGTACAAAGTCTAGGTGTGACCGTGGGAAGGAAGAGTTGGGTGGAGGACAAGATCACTAGAGAGAGAAAGTCAAGGCATCGAGAGGCCCAAATGGTCCCAGGATCATCTACCTGAATTTGGAGCTCACCAAGAATTATGATCCGGGCAGCTTGAGTGACGGTGAGCCTGGAGCCAAAATGACAAAGGGAGCTGCAGCGATGTGGGAGTTGACAGAGCTGGCAACGAGAACAGGAGCAGGTGCTGTAGTGTAAGCTTCAAAGTTAGGGGCGTAGGGAGGAGGCAGAGAGAAAGGTTTGGAAGTGGCAATGAAGAGCAAGGAGGATCTTCTCCCATCTACAGGCTGAGCAGGCCTGAAGGCTAAGGAGGAGAAAACAGCCCCTTCTTGGAAGGGCTGCATGGAAAGGCATGTCTTCCAGGAGAGGTAGGTTGTGGTTAGAGCAGGAAGGTTCAGAAGGAGCTGAGGATATGGGGGGTATCAGGAAAAGACCTCAGTGGCTCCTGCTCCCAGCCCTGACCATTCTGCCAGTACCTCCCCCATTCTGGCCCTCACCACCCTGGGTTGGCAGTATCTGAGGCTGGTCTGTCTCCCCCCACTGGACTGGCAGCTCAGGGGGGCAGGGCCTGGGACTCCTTCAGTCACCACCGTGTCGCCAGCACAAGACCAGCCAGCACCCACTAACTGCTCACTGGTAGTGCCAATTTCAGGTCTGCAGAGCAAGTTGCCAGGTGAAAAACCTCAGAGCCAGGAGATGGTGCCAGGATTCCAGAAAATAGGACTGGCAACCCTAAATCTGCTGTGTACTCTGTTGTTGTCCTTTAGAAAAAAAAAAATGTTTAATTGGAAGGCAAACAGAAAAATCCGTAAGAAGTAGGTAACATTATCCTGAATCAGAGCCATTTGAAGTGTTACGCAACTCCTGGAAATCCAGAATAGACTCAGCGGATTTCCCATCTTGACATTTCAACAAATTTTCGGGAATGTTTCTGTGCAGCAGGAATATCCTGCAGAGAGAATACAAAACAGCATGGGTTCATTCATTCATTCAACAAACCTTTACAGAGCACCTACTCTGTGCTAGGTACTGAGTGATACTGCAATGCATGGAACAGACCAGTGGATTCTCCTGGAGGTTTTTAGTAATTTCTCATAGTAGCACTTGTTTTGTTTATGGAATGAACACAGGGATGAATATTAATTTATAAAATTACAAAGCACAAAATTCTCAGTACTTACGCAGAATCTGCTCACTCCTTGCCTCCTTTAGCTCTTTGCTCAAGAGTCACTTGATGCATTCCTTGACCACCCTGTGAGAAATGTCACCCGCCCACACACACGCAATGGTCCCTATCTCCTTTCCCTGCTATTTTTTCCAAAGCAGTTATTGCCTTCTAACAGCTTGTTTGGTATCTGTTTCCCCCATTAAAAGATGAGTTCATAAGAGTGCGGACTTTTATGTCTTGTTCACTGCTGCACTCCCAGCGCCTAGCACAGTGCCTGCTACATACAAGGCGCACAATAAATGCTTTTCGAATGTATGAATGGAGGCCAGAGTCGGTCGGTCCCTCTTCTTGGGGGGTGTAAATGGATCAGGGAAGGCTTTTAGGTGTAGAGGGGACCTTAGAGTTAACAAGGAATAGAGAAGAGGGGCAGAGGGCACGGCCCGTGCGAAGGCCGGGGGACGATCCCCGTTACTGGGGCACTCGAAACGGTGATGGGAAAGCTGGAAGGAGTCCCCGCCCACAGCGCACGCGCGGGAATCCGGGCGGGGCTGGGCTCAGAGGGGCGGGGCTGCGTGCTTGCGTCACGTGCCGTACGTCGCCGCGCGCGTGCGCTCTTTTCCACGTGCGGAATCCCCGGACTCGTGGAGTGCCGGACGCCGCAGACGCCAGAGTCGCGCAGCTCCGCTCTCGCCATGAGGCCAGGTGCGCGCCGGGGTTGGGGTCGGGGGTCGGAGACTGGGCCCCGGCGGGAACTGGGGTGCCAGACCGGAGTCGGAGGGGCGGGGCTCTGGGCTGGGGTGGGGGTTCTGAGCCCGGATCCGGTCTCGGGCGGGAAGGGGGTCCTGGTTCCGGTCTCGGGCGAGAAGGGTGTCTCGGTTCCGCCCTATGATGGATGCTGAGCCCCGGGTTCGGGTTCCTGGTCTGGCGGTGTGTGACTGGCTTCGGAGGTCACGGCCGTGACTCGAGGGTCTTGGGCCTGGGGTTGGGGTGTCCTGACCTGGGGTTCATCTCACCGAGGCCGTCGTTAGGGGTCTTGTATGTTGGGCCGGGGTCAGGAGTCGGGGGTACTGACCCAGAGTCTGGATTTAGGCATCTGGGGTCTTGGCTCTCGGGGCGTGGGTTTGGGGGCTGTGTCTTGGTTTGGAAGCGGAGAGTCCCTGATCTTGGGTCCGGGACCCGGGTCTGAGAGGCCCCCCGATTTCCTCCCGTATCGCCGCCGCTCCCACCGTCCCCTTAGCCCCCAGCCTAGCTTTGCAGAGATAGCCGGAGTGGATGAGGACTCCCCGCTTGATGGCTGGTGGCCGTGTCTGGCCCGCTTTCCCGCTTTCTGCTCTTCCGAGGGGGCGGGTCCCTGAGGATGGAGTAGAGATCGAGGGCCTAGTGATTCTCGACTCCGCGGTGAGATGAAACTTCACAGGCCCAGGATAAGATTAGCCTGGGGTGGGGGGAGGGAGGGAGTCACAGGGCATGAGTGGTTTTATTCTTTCGATTTTCCCCGAGATTCTGATGAACTCAGCCCCGCTCCCTCGTGGTGGAATGATGAGAGCCCTGGCTTTGACAGCAGAAGGTCTCAGTGCAAAGTGTCAGTCCTGGCTCTGCTTCTTAACCTACTGTATGACCTTGGGCCCATGGCTTTATCTCTCTGAGCCTCAGTTTTCTCATCAATAAAATGGCGCCCAGTTATAATTCAGTGAGATCATGTTAAGAAAAAACAGCACATAGTGGTCATCATTTTACAATATGTAAGTATATCAAATCAACAGGTTGTACGCCTTAAACTTACACAATGTTGTATGTCCATTATATCTCAGTAAAGCTGCAAAAAAATAGCGCAGTGCTTGACATAATAGTATTGGCTAAAATTATCTTTATATTCTCAAGGGGAACAAAATGCTGGTGTCTCAGGGCTTCTTAAATCAGGCTGCACCCCTCCCCACAACTTGCTCCACTGGGGTTGGGGAAATGTCTACTGAGACTAAAAGGGTCTGTTTCCTGGTACAGGTTTTCTTTTTTCTCAGCGTGTGGAGAGATGGGGTCATGGGGTGGAGAATGGCGATGGGTGTGTGTGTGAATCCACGCCCCCTCCCGAACTCCCTTTCTCTTCCGTGTTCGGGGATCTACTGAGGAAGTGGGGTGGGAGGTGCCAGGCTGTGTCTCTGGGACTGAGACCCTGGCATGCCTGCGGGCACCCTGTGGTCTGATTCCCCCAGACATGGAGGGTACACCTTCCTCCCAACCCTTCCCCTGCTGCGCTAGGATATAAAGTTGCAAAAGGTGTCAGGAGTCAGCTCTTCAAGAAGGACTGGTGGCTTGAGAGAGGAAGCCTTTGGGAGATTATGAGCTGGGACGTGATGTCATTCAGACTTGATTGACACTTTAAAAGGATCCTTCCTGCTTCTGTGTGTAAAAGACTCGAGGGGAGCAACAGTGGAAGCGGGCAGCGCCCTGGGAAGTTGGGTGCTGTAATCTACTTGGAGATGATGTGGGTGGTCGCAGTGCACCTGGCTGACATCGTCACAATTTGGGAGTATATTTTGAAGACAGAGCCAGCAGTTTGTATGTGGGTGTGAGCGAGAGGAGTCAAGGACAACTACGGGTTTTGGCGTAACTGGAAGGAGAGAGTTGCTGTTTTTGAGATGGAACAGGCAGTGGGAGGAGAGCAGCTTTAAACCAGGGCATCTGTGGGCCCTCCACCCAACACTTCTAGAAAAGTGTACGTAAACGTGTTTTTCTGAGGAGTGGGTACTCCTAGTACATTTTTCTAAGAGCCCCAGGACCTGAAGCGGATGAAGCTGTGCCTGGAGTATTGGACTGGACGTTTACCGTTGTGTCCCTGTCCCCCTGCCATGCCCACACTTCCAGGGCTCTGTTCCTCCGGCCTGGGTTGAGAGCCTCTTAGGCTCGTGGTTTCTCCCCAAGTAGGAGGGAGGGGCGACTGTTACCCTGAGTTTGAATGATAATGTCGAACTGTGTGCCGGGCAGTGTAGTAAGTGAAGCGCCTTGTGTGTATGAAGTCACTTAATCGTGACAACTCTGTGAGGTGGGCACCGTGTTACCTCCGTATCTTCCTCTTTCAGGTAAAGTTGTCACGACTCCCAGGGACCTTCCCTGCTCCCTAGGGTCGTGAATGGCGTGGCCACCTCCCCTATGGGCTCCAAGAGCTGCTCGAGAGGAAGGACCTGGGCTCTCGTCACCTTCCGATCACCCGCTTTCTGAATGAACAGAGAGGCTGCTTTCTCCACGAGCAGAGCCCAGGGGTTTAAGGGTCATCAGCGGACATCTCATGGACTCGTTACTGAGCCCATACTCGGTGTCAGGTGTTGTGCAGGATGCTGGGGATGCAGTGGTGACCAAAACAGTTCAACATCCCTGTCCCTTTGGAGCTTGATTCTAGCGGGGGAGGTAGGCAGTGACAATATGAAAAATGCATGGATGGCTGTTGACAGGAAGAAAAGAAAGGCGATGCAGCCGGAGGAGGCCCTGCTGAGGAAGAAACATTGAATCAGAGACCTGAGTGCAGGGAAGGAGGGGCGGGCCTAGCAGATGTCCACGGGAGCCAGCCAGGGGGAGCAGCAGATGTTCAAGGTTTAGAAGCCGGAGAGCGTGGTTGTTCTTGGGGAGGAAGAGCCTGGGGCCCGAGGTCAGAAGTCAGCGGAAGCTGGAGCCTTGTGATGGCAGACTACATGGTAGAATAACTGGAGGAACTTGGAGAAGCCCCAGGCCCACCCGAGACAATTAAATCGGAATCTCTCGGTTGTCTGGATTAGCAAAGGGGAGAGCCGCCGATTTAGGGCTTTGGAACCCAGAGAAAGGAATCTTGAGTTGATTGTGAATGTGATGGAAAACCAGGGAAGGGCTTCGGGCAGGGGTGCTGAGATCGGATTTGCTGCTTTAAGAAGCTCCGTCCCCAGTTGCTCTGGACGGCAGGCTGTGCAGAGGAGCCGGTCGCGGGAAACAGCTCTTGGTTACATGGAGGAGCTTGAAACTGTTCATTTTTACCGATTACACTGGGACTAGCGATTAGTTCTCCCGTTCTTTCCTGAACGCCGTTAAGAGGCATGAAACTTTCACAGAGTGCATATAATGCACCTTTAGAAAAACTGCAGCCTGTTTGCTGCTGAGTAGGTTACAGCAAGTGAGATCATTTTCAACATCACTAATCTGCACACTAACTTGCTTTGTAACTCCCGTGATCTTTCTGAACCGTGCTGCAGAGCTGTTGAAGCCCACACAGAAAGTCAAATATTGAAGCTCTTAGCCCCAGGAGAATTCCGTCTGCTTCCAGCATTGTTTGGTGCTCAGGGCAGTGAACAGTGTCTCCTCTCTCCTGAAGTGATGAGAATAAAGTCTCTCTGAATCTCTTGTTTTCCTTAAACTTTCCATCTTGTTGACAAGCCCTAAACTGCTTAAGAACTGTTGTCCATCTGTGAGGGGCAGTTCGGGGTGTTTTCTTGTTTTCCCCCTGAGCTGGAAGATCAGTTAGAAGGAAAGAGGTCTTGCCAGACTCCCCTCTCTTTGGGGAGTGGGCGCTTTTCTTCCAGGCACGAGGTCAGGAGTGGGAGGGCACGCGGATGTTTCCAGAGTCTGGGGGACCCTCCTGCCATGCTGCACGCACACATGCACTGTTCACTCTTCTCCAGACTAATCAGTATTGAAAATAGAATGACTTCCGTGACTCTGCTCTCCAAGGAAAGCAGGATACTGACAGTAACTTTCATCTACCTGTATGCTCCTCCCCTGTCGTAAGCCCGTCATTCCTCCCTCCCAACCCCCGAGGTCCTGAGTTTCACCGTTATCATTCCCTTGCCTCTATTTGGGGGGAGTGTGGCGTGGTTTTCTCGGACTTGCCTTTTCAGTGAACGTCACGATTCTGAGATTTATCTCTTGTGACTGTTGATCTTTCCCACTGTTGACTAGGAGTCTTCCCCATAGCGTTTGTCCGTCCTGCCGGTGGACATTCAGGCGAGCCCTGAGTTCTCGTGCCAGTGGACACGTCTGCTGCTGCACACGTTTCTCGAGTTTCTCCCCCGAACGGAATGACGAGGTGTACGAGTAACTTTTCCAGCTTCGTTGCCCTGATTCCTGTTTCTGTTTCCCCCACAGGTTTCAGCCCCCGTGGGGGTGGCTTCGGTGGCCGAGGGGGCTTTGGTGACCGCGGCGGTCGTGGCGGAGGCCGAGGAGGCTTTGGCGGGGGCCGAGGTCGAGGCGGAGGCTTTAGGGGCCGTGGCCGAGGAGGAGGAGGAGGAGGTGGAAGAGGTACTGAATGGGGTTGGGGCAATGGGATGGACGAGGCCTGGGCAGGGGGAGCCGGGAGGGAAGAGATGTGGGGTCTCCCTCTCTCACTGCATCTCTGCCTGGTAGGTGGAGGGTTCCATCCTGGGGGCAACCGGGGTCGTGGCCGGGGAGGAAAAAGAGGAAACCAGTCGGGGAAGAATGTGATGGTGGAACCTCATCGGCATGAGGGTGAGTGAGGAAGGCGGGGGACCCACTGAGGGGAGGGGTGGGGTGGGGCGAGGTGGGGTGGGCTGTGGCCAGAGTCTTCACCCCTGCACTGGTCCCCTCACTCAGGAGTCTTCATCTGTCGAGGAAAGGAGGATGCACTAGTCACCAAGAATCTGGTCCCTGGAGAATCAGTTTATGGAGAGAAGAGAGTCTCGATTTCGGTGAGACTGGCACCCCGTCCAAGCCACAGGGCCCCAGCTGATGGCGTAACCCACAGTCTGCTCTCTCTGCCCCCAGCATGTGTCCCACACATGACAGTCAGGGGACCTCTCCATACATAAGTCAGATTGTGCGCTCCCCTCCCCAGCGCCTTCAGGTTAAAGTCCCAAGTCCTCAGTGTGGCCTGGAAGGCCCTGCGGGTTCTGCTCCCCTCCCCACTCCCTGGCCTTGTCTTTCTCCCGAGGCCACCGTGTGCCACCCTGTCTGTGGAAAGCAGCCCTCACCACCACACTCCGCCCTCTTAGCCTGCATCGTTTTCCTTAGGACCGGGCACCCTTGTGCCTCGGGGCCTTTCTGCACCTGGCATGTGCTTCCCCCGGTGACTTGAGTGGCCCCTCCCCTCCTTCAGGTCTGCTCCAGGTCTGCCTCCGGCTTGCTCTTTTCTCCTCGCGCCTGTCGCTGGCTCCTGTGCTGGCCGTGTCACGCAGTTCCGTGTGCACTTACTGCTTGAGGGCAGAGACTTTGCCCTGTGCGCTGCGTGTCCCCAGTGCCTAGCGTAGGGCCTGGCACGGATGTGCCAGCACAGCAGCTGCCTGGTGAAAAGGGCATGGGTCTTGCCATTACCTGGTATGATCTTGTCTCTGTTCACTGTCTGTCACGGCCCCTTCTCCCCAAGTTACTCACCTACGTGAGAGGGCAGGCACTGCATCCATTGTGGTCACTGCTATATACCCACGTTCATTTCTTGTTCAATGATTGAGTGCCCGGTCCCTTTTGAGGGCCCGAGGATTAAGGGCGATGGGGTCTTGCAGAAGAGCCCTGCCCTGACTTCCATCCCTATCTCTCTGGGCCCAGGAGGGAGATGACAAAATCGAGTACCGTGCCTGGAACCCCTTCCGCTCCAAGCTGGCGGCAGCGATCCTGGGCGGCGTGGACCAGATCCACATCAAGCCAGGGGCCAAGGTGCTCTACCTCGGGGCTGCCTCGGGCACCACAGTCTCGCACGTCTCTGACATCGTCGGCCCAGTGAGTGGACGGGGAGGGGTCGGGGTGGGGGTGAGTATGGGCGGGTGGCGAGGTGGCAGGGAGGGAAAGGCCCTGGCTGCTTCCCTGCGCTGCGTGGCTTGGAGCCAGGCCCTTCCCTCTGAGTGAAAGGAGCAGCTTGAACCACGTGGTCTCCGAAGCCTGATTCAGCTCACTCCTGAGTTCTTGGCCTGGAGGGAAGGGGCGTGGGCATCGAGGTGACTAGTGTTAGCGGGGCCCAGCGCTGAGAGGCTAGATCTCACACTGTTTGATTTGGTCGCCCTCTTTGAGTGACTTCCCATCACTGGGCCTCAGTGTGTTCCTCTGTAAAATGGACATAACGATAGTGGTTAAACGGTGGGATTTTGATTTGGGGATTGGAAGAGATGCCGTGTGCAGTGTGTATGGCCCCAAAGTAGATGCTCCGTACATGAGGACTGGTGTCATTGTCGTTGTTATTTGACTTCTTTTAGGACGGTCTGGTCTACGCAGTTGAGTTCTCCCACCGCTCCGGCCGTGACCTCATTAACTTGGCCAAGAAGAGGACCAACATCATTCCTGTCATTGAAGATGCTCGGCACCCGCACAAATACCGCATGCTCATCGGTGAGGGGTCTAGGGGTGGCCCAGGTAGGGTAGGACAGGCTGCTCCGGGCTCCCTGGAAGAGGCCGCGGGAGCCCTGACTCGGATGGCCCTGGAGTGGATGAGCCTGCAGTGTGGAGAAGGGTAGGGGGAGCCAGGTGAGGTGGAGGTGATAGCCCCACTTCCCACTTCAGGGTCTTGGGGGTCTCGCGCCCTCAGAGGGCCAGCCTCCTTTCCTCCGGTCTCCTGCCCCTCTCCCTAGGCCCCCTGTACTTCCTGCCTCCCTCCAAAACGTGGTCCTTTTTACACTGGCTTAAGTGTGAAAGCCTCCTTCAGTGGTCCCCCTCATCACCTGGGGAGCTCATACCCAGAAAGCAGAGCCTGAGGCCCAGAGGGGCCCAGGTGAATATTAATGACTTTTAAAAATTCAAAAGCATAATGTAAAAATGGAACGCCTTATAATCCACCCCCAGAGGGGACTGATACGAACCATTTGCTGTCTGCTTTTCCCAGTTTTGAAAAGTCCGTTTTCATTACATTGTCTTTTCATTTTTTTAAGTTGTTATTTTTTTTAATCACAGTCTTAAAAATGTTACTTTGCATTCCGCCGGTTTTTCTGTGAGTTTTTTCATGCCCTCATCCCGTATCCTTTGTCCTGCAACTTGTTTGCATTTGACAAACCTGCAGACGCTCTTGCCTCTAAGTGCTCACCTTTACTTGCCTTTTTGATGATGTGTCTGTCTCCCCCCCCAGACCCGGGAGCATCTCGAGGGCAGGGTCCGGGTCTGACTCGTCTCTGTGTTCCCCACGCCCAGCCCAGGGCTGGCCACAGAGTAGGTGGCAAACATGGTTTACAAGAGGAGTGGATGGATGGTGTGACTGTGGGTTTTAGACCCATCTTGGGGGCACCGTGGAGGGAGGGGGATCAGCGGGGGGAAGTGAGACTGGAGGCAGGGAGACTGCCAGAAACCTGCTGGTGAAGGCGCACAGGCCCCATGGGAGGAGCTGGGAAGATGCAGTGGATGTGGGTTCCAACTGCCGCTTTTTCCTCCCCAGCGATGGTGGATGTGATCTTTGCCGACGTGGCCCAGCCAGACCAGACCCGGATCGTAGCCCTGAATGCCCACACCTTCCTACGTAACGGCGGCCACTTCGTCATTTCCATTAAGGTGCGGGGTCCACGATGGGGTGCTGGTATCTTCTCTCTCTGTGACTGCCAAGCAGCCAGTCAAAACAAGGGGGCCTCCATCCCCCACAATCCAGGCAGTCTGTTCCAGGCCTCTACCCCTCCCCAGCTCCCTACAAGCCACCTCTGCCCCAAATCAAATAGCGCGTGATGAAAAATGTCTGCAAAACTGAAAAGCTGCAGATTTTAAAATGCAGTAGAATGCAGTGGCCAAGGGAATGATCGCAAAGTCTGGCCAGCTAATGTCGCACGCCAGCTTGAATTAAGTGACTTTGAGTAAGACAAGCTATGTTGCCTGTTTCTTTACTTGTCAAACAGAAATATTAGTCCTATCTCTTTTAGTGTTGATAAATTTAATCCTATATATTGACTAAATTTATCAATATATAGGGGGGCCGGCCCTGTGGCAGAGTGGTTAAGTTCACATGCTCTGCTTTGGTGGCCCAGGGTTCACTGGTTCAGATCCCCGGCATGGACCTATGCACCATTTATCAAGTCGTATTGTGGCAGGTGTCCCACTTATAAAGTAGAGGAAGATGGGCACAGATAGTAGCTCAGGGCCAATCTTCCCCAGCAAAAAAGAAAAAAGGATTGGTGGCAGAGATGTTAGCTCAGGGCTAATCTTCCTCAAAAAAAAAAAAAAAAGAATTTATCAATATATAGGAAGTGTTTTAAGCAGAGCCTGGTGTCAAATAAATCCTGGATAAACGTTAGGTGCATTTTAAAACCGTTTTATCTTGAAATACAGAGGCCTCTGCTGTGTATCCTTCACCCGGATTCTCAGCGTGTGTTAGCCTTTTGCTACATTTGTTCTGGTATTCTCAGCTGCATTGTTACGCTTGTTTAAGAGGAAGTAGAAGAAAACCCTCTGGGTGTACAGTTTAAACACTGGCTTTCACGTAAACAGGGCTCTGTTGAAGCTTCCTATTCGAAATCCAAACCAAACCGAAAACTCCTCTAAGGAAGTCTCTCCCTACATTTCCAAAGCCTGAGTTTCACTGAGTTGCCAATAAAAACAAATACGTCTGGTTTAAAGAGCACAAAAAAGGGGAAGCGGCCCGAAGGCTCGCTGCAGACTTGAGATCCCCTGTCCTCCGCAGGCCAACTGCATCGACTCCACCGCCTCGGCCGAGGCCGTGTTTGCCTCGGAGGTGAAGAAGATGCAGCAGGAGAACATGAAGCCGCAGGAGCAGCTGACGCTGGAGCCCTACGAGAGAGACCACGCCGTGGTCGTGGGCGTGTACAGGTGAGCAGGGGCCGGGAGGCGCCCGCCCGGAGCCGCACGGGTCCTGTTAGCGTTGCCCCAAAGTGGGGAGAGACTCTGATCCCCTCGTCTCCTTCCTCTCGCAGGCCACCCCCAAAGGTGAAGAACTGAAGCCCGGCGCCGCCTGGACTGCGAAATTGTGTTGCTACTGTTCCGCGTGTGTTTTTCTATTAAAAGACTCCTCCGTCGCACTGTCTGCCGCTGATTGCTTGGCGACCGCTAGAGACATGGCGCATGCGCCTTTGGTCCACTTTCGCGTTGGTGGGGAGGATTTGTTCCTCCGGTCACACGGCGCATGCTCCTTTCTTAGCTGACACTTGCGCAGCCGCAACCCGGATTTCGGCGCTTGGGCGGGGTTGGTAGCTCGCTGCGCATGTCCACCGGTAAGCTCCGCTGTGCGCAGGCGCGGAGTGTTGCCCTGGGTCACGTGAGAGGGACAGATCGGGGGGAGCGGGGGCGGAGCCCGGGGCGGGGGGGCCGGTTTGTTGTGGTCGCCATTTTGCTGGTTGCATTACTGGGTAATCGGGGCCCTGGCTCGCCGCGTCCGCCGGATACCTTCAGCCCGTGGGCAGGTCTGAGCTCGGGCTCCCCGAGCAGTTTGAGTCCCCTTGCCCGCGCCCTCAGGTAACGACGCGGCTGCGGGCGGGGCGGCACGCGCTCGCGGGGACAGGGGCAGTACGGGACCCGCCCTGCCCGCGTCGCCGCGAGACTTAGCACGAGGCCGAGGGAGGAGAGGAGGGGGGCGGCGGGCAAGTGCAGGCCGTGCCTGGCTATTCATAGTCGGATTCCTGGAAGGGGCCGAGCCCGAGGGAGCAGTCCTAGGAGGGAGGCCGGGAGGGGGGGAGCGGGGCCCCGCTCCCGCCCTTTGTTTGGGCTCGGCTCCGCTGGCCGCTTCGTCGTCGCCTAGCAACAGCTGTCCTGAGCTGTGATTGGCTGAGCTCTTGGCAGCAGCGGCCAATGGCACGGTTGTTGCCATGGCAGGTGCGGACTGCCAAACTCAGTCGGGCCCCGCCCGCCGGGGCTCCGCGGGCTGGGGCGGGCCTCTAGGGTGGGGGGCGGGACGCCGGGGTCCCCGGGGGCGGGTGGCTGCGCGGGGCGGGGCCGGCGGGGCGAGGGTTAAGCCGCCCCTCCCCCGTCCACCTGCTTTCCCCTTCCCCCGCGTGCCCCGGGCTGACCCTCGTCCCCTCCTCTCCCCGCCCCCGGCGGCGGCGGCTGCTGTTGTCACCCACCGGGCCGCCTGTCCCGCTTGCCCTCCCCGCCGCGGGGCTTGCCGGGCCGGCCGGGCCGGGACAGGCGGCCGTCTCCGCACCGCCGCCACCGCCGCCATGCTGGCCGCTCGCCCACCCCACTGGGGGCCCCACCGCGCCCCAGCCCCCCGTGGGCCCCGCGCCAGCCCTGACCCGGGTAGGGGGTGGCGGCTGGGAGAGACGGTCCTGGTGTGGGAGGGCCCCGAGGAAGAAGTGGTTTTGGGGGGGAGCTCCAAGAGAGAGGAAGGGTCGTGGAGTGGGAAGGCTTGGCACAGAAGAGGGTTGCCATGGGAGAAGGCCCATGGGGAGAGGATTTTCGTGTGGCCGATACTCTGGAGGGGAGAACTCTGTGATATTTTGGGAATTTGGCTAGGGACGCCTTCTAGGAATGGGCACAGTTGTGGATTGACCCTGGTGTAGAGAGAAGTGACTGGAGAAAGGGCTCCGGTAGGCATATTGGATGGTGGGGAGGGGAGGAGAGTCCAGTGTAGGGGAGAGAAGGCCGATTGCTCTAAACCATGGGAAGAGACGCCTCCCCTTTGCGCCCATCTGGAAGAGTGGGCCTTGAGTGGGAGGGGGACCTTGGAGTAATATGAGGAAGGTCCCTGATGTGGCTGGGGGAACTGGAATACGGTATGGGGACTCTACCTGAAGGGGTGGTCCCCGATATGGGAGGAAGTGAGATACTGAAGAGGTCTTGGCGTGATATGGGGAGAGTTCCCTGGGAGTAGTGTGCTCTGGTGGATGAGAGTGCCGTGGCGGTGGCACTCTGATATGTGAGAGGTTCTCAGATAACCTTGGTCTGGTCAGGAGGTCCTCAAGGACCCTGATGTGGTTTGGAGGGGGCCCAGAGGACTCTCATGTGGTCTGGGGGGATCCTAGAGTTCTCGGGTTTGGGGCACATACTGGGAAGGGTAGATCTTGAAGTGGAGGGACCTTACTGTGACAAGAGATGAGATTCTGGGGTTCAGGGGGGACTGCGGGAGGGCAGCATTTAGTGTGAGGGGCCCTGGGAAGGGCCAGGAGTAGACATGGGAAGAAAAGAGTGAGCCCTTCTCCCTATACCATGTGTGGTTTCTATCTTTTTCTCCTCTTCCTTCCCCCAATTCTTGGTGTCGTTCTGTCCTTTCCTGCCATGACCCACACCCCTGCCTGGCTCCCCATCGTTCCCTTCACATGTTCCCCTCTTGGTGCCACCTACTTCATTTATCTGGTAATCATTTGTTGAGGTATTCCGCTGTGTCCCTCCTCCCCTTCCCCACCCCCACCCCCCGCCGCTTCTCTCTGTCCCCTCTCTTCTTTGCCACCTGTTGCTCCATTGCACCCTTTTTATCCTCCCTCTGTACCCTGCCTTCTCTCTACTGTCCACCTCTTTCCCGCCTGGCACTGTCCCACGCATCCCCTTCTTCTCTGTTGTGCCCCCGCCTCCCGCCTGCTCTCAGGTCTCAGCGGCGGTGGCAGCCGAGGTGCAGGATGCGAGAAGGCGCCCCCCGGCCGGGCTCCCGCTCCAGGCCTCGCTCCCTTGCGGCCCTCTGAGCCCACCATGGCCGTCCCACCAGGCCATGGTCCCTTCTCTGGCTTCCCGGGGCCCCAGGAGCACACGCAGGTACGCGGTTGGCTGGCTTCTCACCTGCCTGGGGCAGGGGGAGACAGGGGATAGACGGGTCTTGGGGCCCGAAGATAATGTGGTTGCCCAGGACATCTTCTGGGGACATGCGGGGCCCTATGGGGGTGGGAGGTAACAGAGGAGTGGCTGGCAGAGGCAGGGTTTGGAGAGCCTGGGTTCAAATCCTGACCTGGTGCTAAACTGCTGTGGTTCTCCGCGCTTCAGTTTGCTGTTCTCTAAAATGGGGCCAAGGATACCTGCCTCCCAGGGTTGTGAGGAGGAAATGAGTTACCGAAATGCCTGTGCAATGCTGAGGACAGTGCCTGGCACATAGTAGACACTCAATAAATGTGCACTAAGCAAAACAAGTCCAGAGTGGAAGATCTGGAGGGCATGAGAGGGAGGAAGGCTGAGCCTGAGGGGCCTCAGAGCCAGCAGAGCCAAGGGTACAGGGTAAAGATCCTCAAGGGGGGAGATCCCTAAGGCTCTGAAATGCACAGCCTGAAGCGGGAGGGAGCGGGAGGTCCAGGCTGCTGGATCCAGATCCAAGACTTGGGTGCAAACACTCGCAAAGATGCACAGAGGAGGTGAGCGCAAGGGTTGGGAAGGCCCCCAAGATGGGGGGTCCTCAAGATGGGATACCCCAAATGGACAGTCTCAAGCCAAAGGATCGGGAGGGGCAGAGCCCAGGTTTCCTCTCTGATCTCTCCCACTGAGGTTCTGAAAGGAGTGAAGGTGTGGTGAAGGAGGAAAGGTCAGGGTTAAACAGCGCACTCCTTCAGTCGCTCAGCAGATCTCCCATGGACCCACTGTGTGCCAGGCCCTGCTCCAGGCGCTGGAGCTCCTGCAAGAACAAGATCAATCTCTGCCACTGGGGAGTGTACGTTCTAGTTGGGTTGTGAGACAGTGACCACGTAAATGTGAGCGCGATAATGATGAGCCAGCCGCCCAGAGTTCTCCCCCTTGAGGTGAGAGGCAAAGGCCGTCCTCAGTGCCCACCCACACCCCGCCCCCAGGTATTGCCTGATGTGCGGCTGCTGCCGCGGAGGCTGCCCCTGGCCTTCCGGGACGCGACCTCGGCCCCGCTGCGCAAGCTCTCCGTGGACCTCATCAAGACCTACAAGCACATCAATGAGGTGGGCAGGCGGTGGGGGACCCGGGCTGGGTGCTGAGGGGACCTGGCTGCTGGGACAGGCCACTCACCAGACCCCATCTCCCGGCCGGCCGGCTGGGCAGGTATACTACGCAAAGAAGAAGCGGCGGGCCCAGCAGGCACCGCCTCAGGACTCGAGCACCAAGAAGGAGAAGAAGGTCCTGAACCACGGCTATGACGACGACAACCACGACTACATCGTGCGCAGTGGCGAGCGCTGGCTGGAGCGCTACGAGATTGACTCACTCATTGGCAAAGGCTCCTTCGGCCAGGTGCGGGACGCCCTCCCCCACCCTGAGCCAGGGACTGGGGCCACGGGCACCCACTGACATCGACCCACACAGCCAGGGCTTCAGCAGCTTCCGGTTCTGTGCTCGGCCACTCACCCTAGCCTAGTCACTAGGTTTCCCTGTGCCTCAGTTTCCTTCTCTGTAGAACAGTGCAAATAACAGGACTCTCACATTAGATGCTATTATCTCACGTCCACTGCTTACACTAGTGCCTGGCTGTTGGTGGGCACTCAGTTTTGAATTACTGTTAGTGATACTGGGGGGTCACCTTGGCTGGGGGGAGAAGACTGGTGCCTGGCTCTGTCCCGCTCCTCCTCCTCCCCCCACTTTCTGACGTGCCCCGCTCCGGCAGGTGGTGAAAGCCTATGATCACCAGACCCAGGAGCTGGTGGCCATCAAGATCATCAAGAACAAAAAGGCCTTCCTGAACCAGGCCCAGATCGAGCTGCGGCTGCTGGAGCTGATGAACCGGCACGACACGGAGATGAAGTACTACATAGGTGAGGCCCGCGGCAGCGGACCCGCTCAGGGATGGGGCACCCCCCCATCCGGGAGGGGCTGGTGTCCCCTGACATCAGTGCGTCTCCTGCCTTTTCCGTGATTTTTGCTCTACGCACATGATGCTGCTGGTCCGAGTTTAGCGGGTGCTCACGAAGGGTCAGGCTCATTGTAAGCACTTCACACACCTCCATTAGTTGAAGCCTCGCCACGGCCCCGCGGAGGGAGGGGCATCACTGTCCACAGCTTGGAAACTAAGAAAGGGGGGCATTCAGGTGCCGTCCTTGCCTAAGGTGGCAGAGTATGTACTCGGTGGAGCATAGTCTGAGCCAGCAGTGGGCCCCAGAGCCTTTCCTCTTGACACCTGGGCCGTCGTCTTCCTCTCTCCTCCGCTTATTCCTCGTAGAAAAAGCAAGTGGATTTAAAGAGTGCATTTCTTCGAATATACATCCTTACCATAAACGGAAAACGTCTCTTTCACCACAAAAATAAACAGAACCGAGACTAACACCATGTGATCAAATTAAATGAGGAAGTGTAGAATGGTGTGAAAGAGCCTGCAGCACCAAATGGAAACTTTCTGGTTCAATCAGAAAGTTTGACGGAGACTTGAAAAGAATTAACTTTTCTTAATCAAGAAAATCAGTCAGGGGGCTGGCCTGGTGGCATAGTGGTTAAGTTCGGCATGCTCCACTCCAGCAGCCCAGGTTTGGTTCCCGGGAGCAGACCTACACCACTCGCACAGCCATACTGTGGTGGCAGCCCACATACAAAATAGCAGAGGATTGGCAGAGACGTTAGCTCAGGGCGAATTTTCCTCAGCAAAAAAATCAAAAAACCAACTTTTTCTTGGTTTGATTCAAGTTACAGACCACATAAAAACATCCTGACTAGCCCACCACAATTTGGCCAGTGCTGACAGGCAGACACACAGGCCGCTTCCAGCCTCTCCCCTTATTACTGTGTACCCCGGGCCACCACTGGCCCTCTCTGAGCCCCGGTTTCCTCTCCTCGGGCCCTTTCCGTCCCCTCCCCGCAGTGCACCTGAAGCGGCACTTCATGTTCCGGAACCACCTGTGCCTGGTGTTCGAGCTGCTCTCCTACAACCTGTACGACCTCCTACGCAACACGCACTTCCGCGGCGTGTCGCTGAACCTGACGCGGAAGCTGGCGCAGCAGCTCTGCACGGCGCTGCTCTTCCTGGCCACGCCCGAGCTCAGCATCATCCACTGCGACCTCAAGCCCGAGAACATCCTGCTCTGCAACCCCAAGCGGAGCGCCATCAAGATCGTGGACTTCGGCAGCTCCTGCCAGCTCGGCCAGCGGGTGCGGCCCTGCGCGGGGCGGGGCTAGCGGCGGGGCGGCGGGGCCCAGGGGTGGGCTAGGCTGCGATGAGACTGTCGGGTGCAGCCTCGAGTGGCTGATGCCTGAGGGATGGTGCTTGGGATGGGGTGTCGCGGGTGGCGAGGGTGGGGCCGGTGGGTGAGGCGGGGGAAGGAGAGGGCCGCAAGGAATCCTGCCCAGAGGAAAGAGAAGGGTGCAGCTGAGGCTGCCAGCTGTGGGCAGGGGGAAGCTGGGCTGGCTTTGAGCCTTGGGTGGCACTTGGCTCAGTTTTGTCCACCCCGTTCTCTTAAAGCTGGGGATGGGCGGGGAACGCTGCAGCTTCATGTCAGCTGGCATTGGATAACGCTGGTAGTGGCTTGAAGAGGGTCTGGATTGGGAGGGCGAGAAGGGCCTGGGCCTGCAGACTGCCAGCTGCTGGTGACCAAGAGGCGCCCAGGGTCAAGCCTGGGGATGGAGATCAGGGTCAGACGAGGCCAGCAGACTCCTGAGACCGATAACTAAGATGGTGGTGGTGGCTCCTGAAAAGCTGGCGCTGTTCTCAGGGTTTGGAGCCCCATCCGAGGTTGTGGAGGCAGGAGGCTCGTCCTAGCCTGGGGGTGTCCGTGGCAGCAGTAGGGGAGACCAGGACCTCTGACTCCTGCCCTCCTCCCCCAGATCTACCAGTACATCCAGAGCCGCTTCTACCGGTCGCCTGAGGTGCTCCTGGGCACACCCTATGACCTGGCCATCGACATGTGGTCCCTGGGCTGCATCCTAGTGGAGATGCACACCGGAGAGCCCCTCTTCAGTGGCTCCAATGAGGTGTGCTCTCGGGGGGGTGGGGGTGCGCCGAGGCGGTGGACGCCTGGCAGCCTGCTGAGCCTGCCCGCCCGCTCGCAGGTGGACCAGATGAGCCGGATTGTGGAGGTGCTGGGCATCCCACCAGCCCCCATGCTGGACCAGGCGCCCAAGGCTCGCAAGTACTTTGAACGGCTACCTGGGGGTGGCTGGACCCTACGAAGGACAAAGGAACTCAGGAAGGTGCGGCCCCTGCCCCACGCTGCTCCTCCCACCCCGGTGGCCCCTCACTCTCTCGCACTTGGGCCTCCCTCTCCCCCTGCTTCCTCTCCCTTGTGTCTTTCCCTTCCTTCCTCTCCCCCTTGTCTGTCCTTTCCTTCCTCCCCAGCCCACCCCCTCTCTCCTACCCACCCCACAGCTCTTCTTAGCTTTTCTCTTTCCACTTTCTCTCTTGTGCCTCTGTTTCCCCGTGTGTGTCTCCCTGCCCCTCCCGCCCACTGACGGCCACTCTCTTGCCCCCCCTCCCACCCCCTCCCTGCCAGGATTACCAGGGCCCCGGGACACGGCGGCTGCAGGAGGTGCTGGGCGTGCAGACGGGCGGGCCCGGGGGCCGGCGGGCGGGGGAGCCGGGCCACAGCCCCGCCGACTACCTCCGCTTCCAGGACCTGGTGCTGCGCATGCTGGAGTATGAGCCCGCTGCCCGCATCAGCCCGCTGGGGGCTCTGCAGCACGGCTTCTTCCGCCGCACGGCTGATGAGGCCACCAACACGGGCCCGGCAGGCAGCAGTGCCTCCACCTCGCCCGCACCCCTCGACACCTGCCCCTCCTCCAGCACCGCCAGCTCCATCTCCAGCTCTGGTGGGTGCCCAGTGCCAGGTGGGGCAGAACAGGGCGGGGGGGCAGCTCTAGTTGGCCTTGACCTGGGGGACTTGCTTTGAAACCGTATGATCTGAACTCCAAAATGAGTGAGGCAGGAGAGCTCCGACGGGCTTGGGCTCAGGCCTCTAAAACTGGTTCTGACTCTGACACCCAAAACCGAACTCTGACCCCTGATCTCAAAATTGAGCACAAACCTTCAAATGAGCACTCATCCCAAAGCCCAAACCTGGGCCTGGGCCATACCAGACTCAGCCACCCAAAAACCCAGAGGCCTCTCCTCACCTACGGCCTCTTCTCTCCTCCTCTGGCACTTCCAGGAGGCTCCAGTGGCTCCTCCAGTGACAACCGGACCTACCGCTACAGTAACCGATACTGTGGGGGCCCTGGGCCCCCCATCACTGACTGTGAGATGAACAGCCCCCAGGTACTGGGGCCTTGGGGACTGTGAAGGTGGGTGGCAGGGTGTCTAGGGCTTCAGGACCGGGGTCTCCATCACCCACTCCTTGTTCCTCTGTTCCTTTAGGTCCCAGCCTCCCAGCCGCTGCGCCCCTGGGCAGGAGGTGACGTGCCCCACAAGACGCATCAGGCCCCTGCCTCCGCCTCCTCACTGCCCGGGGCCGGGGCCCAGTTACCCCCCCAACCCCGATGCCTTGGCCGTCCCCCATCACCAACCTCACCACCACCCCCAGAGCTGATGGATGTGAGCCTGGTGGGCGGCCCTCCGGACTGCTCCCCGCCTCACCCAGCGCCTGCCCCTCAGCACCCGGCTGCCTCAGCCCTCCGGACTCGGATGACAGGAGGTCGTCCACCCCTCCCACCCCCTGATGACCCTGCCACTCTGGGGCCTCGTTTGGGCCTCCGTGGTGTACCCCAGAGCACGGCAGCCAGCTCATGACCCTGCCCCCTCCCTGGGGCCCCTCCTGAAGCCATACCCCCCCATCTGGGGGCCCTGGGCTCCCATCCTCATCTCTCCCCTTGACTGGAATTGCTGCTACCCAGCTGGGGTGGGTGAGGCCTGCACTGATTGGGGCCTGGGGCAGGGGGTCAAGGAGAGGGGTTTAGGCGCACCCTCCCCACTAAGGACTGGACCCTTAGCCCCCTTCCCCCCTTGTTTTCTATTTATTGTACCAAAGACAGTGGTGGTCCAGTGAGGGGAGACCCCCCTCACCCAAGGGCCCTAGGAGGGGGTGGGGGCAGGTAGGGGGAGATGGCCTTGCTCCTCCTTGCTGTACCCCCCAGTAAAGAGCTTTCTCACATGCCCGCCTGAGCGTTTGCAGGCCCTCGGCCCCCCTCACCTGGCCCTCAGAGGCACGGCAGGGAACGGTATTTGGGAAGGGGTGCTGGAAGAGCTTGGTCGTGTGGGACGCGTCCCTGAGGAAGTGATGGCTGTTGGTGCAGAAACGGGGCTGCGGCAGGTCTGGGGTCTGTGGAGTCCTGGACAGAGATCCTGGAGAGGACCCTAGCCCACATTTGCTTTTTCCAGGGTCAACTGAGACCCCGAAACGGTAAAGGCCCAGCTCTGGCCTGTCTCTGGGAAACATCAGGTTCTACCCTAATAAGCCAGGGCTTCCACAGAGTCTGCACAGGAGTGTCCCTTATGCCAGGCAGACATCCAGAAGGTGCTCAATGCACATAGCAGGCCTCAGTGGTGCCATCTGGGGAACGGCAGGCAGGCCATGGGCACAGACCTTACACCCCACACGTCTGGTCTCACCTTTGGAACCATTGCGAAGCACGAGACTCGTAGGCAAAAAGATATTCCCAAGGTTGCAGGTAAGTGGGCCTGTTTCAATGGCAATTCGGAAACTTCTGTCTCCCAACCGGCCAATCCAGAGCTGCCTGATTCAAAGGGCACGATCTCCTAGCCTCGGGGTGCGTCGCTTCTTGAGAAACGGAGTTACGCCTAGCAGTGGCTTTCTGGCCCTTCGTTTGGGGACTACAAAGACCAGAATTCTTCGCGCCCACGTGTTAGGGGCGGGCCCTCAGGCAGCCTATCAGTGGTCAGAAGCCGCCCGGGGCCCGGATGCAGGAGGCGGGCTGTAGAGGAGGAGAAGGCCGTGATTGGGTGGTTCTGGCCAGCTCGGGTGTCGCGTTCTCGTGGCATGCGGAGGGCGGGGTCTCCGGGCCGTGCCGGGAGAGCAGGCCGGCGGCGTTCGTGGGTACCGAGCGGAGTGTAGGCGCTGAGGCCGGAAGCGGCCCTGCTCCGAGAGGCGTCGGTAGCCGCTCTGGCCCGGCTCGCGGGAAGCCCGGTCGACAGGAGGGACAGGCAAGGGCCCCGCTGCCTCCCTGCGTGTGTGAGGTAACGGACGCGTCGTGGGACGCGGAGGGACCCCGCACCGCGCGCGGTGGGGAAGCTCCCGGAGGAGGGGAGCTGTGAGCAGAGGCCGAAGACGGAAGGGTGTCCGGGGGTGGCGGGGGTGCGATGCGGAGCAGCCTGCGGTGCGGATGGGAGCTGCAGGTGATCTGGTGTCGGTGGAGATCTTATTGAAAGTTCTGTATGAATGAGATCGTGGAAGATTTTGTTGGCCATTTAGAGGGCTTGGACTTTGTCCTGATGGCAGTGAAGAGCCACGGGAGGGTTTCTAAAGGGAAGGAGCCTGGCCCAGTTTGCTGCCATCTGGGAGTGGATTGAGGGGAGAGACACTAGGTCGGGAGCCCGGGGTGGCGGCTGCGGCAGGCTCCTCGGCAAGAGGCCGAGCTGACAGGCTGTGTGGAAGGACGCGGCGGAGAGAGGCGGGAAAAGAATATTTCCGGCACCTAGAACAGTGCCTGGCATACTGTAGATGCTTAATAAAAAAATTTTTTTTAATGAACTGTCCTAGGAGGCAGGTACCATTATGATCGCCGTTTTGCAGATGAGGATACTGAGAGCAGAGAAAGTTAAGTAACTTGCCCAAGATCACATAGCTAGGAGGTGCAGGGCTCAAGAGTTGTGTGTGTGTGTGTGTGTGTGTGTGTATGTGATCCACTGACTTAGCAGGGTGCAAGATGAGCCTCAAGACATCAGCAGGAGCCAAATCGTGTAGGTCCTGTAAAAAATGTGGGATAAGCATGGAAGCGTTTATCCCCAATTTCTCTTTCCAGACCAGAGCCTCTCCCCAGACCTGCTCACTGACAGCCTACATTGCATCTCCGCTTGGATGTCCAGAGAGATCTTGAGAGTTATTTTGGCCAAATTGAGCTCTTGGTCTTTTCCCCGAAACCTGTTTCTCCCACGTTCTTCTCAGTAAATGCCGCTTCTATCCTTGTCATTGCTTAGACCAAAAGCTTTGGAGTTGTCCTTGACTCTCCTTTGTCTTATGACTGTGTGTGGTCTATCAGCAAATACCTTCAAAGTATATTCAGAACCTGTCCATTTCCTCCCAGCTCATTCCTGTCACCCTGTCCTGTCCATCCTCATCTCCTGCCTAGACCATCATGGCAGCCTCCTCGGTGGTCCCCTTGTTCCTCACAGTCAGTTTGTCACATGCAGTCAGAGGGATGCTGTGAACACCTGCATCAGGTCACATCTCTGCCCTGTTCAGGACACTCATGTGGCCCCATGTCACAGAGAGAGAATGCAAGAGTCTTCTCCATGGCCTCAAGGCCCTGCGTGATCCGTTCCCGTTACCTCTCTGACATCATCTACTCCTCTCTCCTTGTTCACTCTGCTCCAGCCACTCTGGCCTCAGGGCCTTTGCGCTTGCTGTTCTCTTTACCTGGAGCACTCTTCTCCCAAATAGTCAAGGCTCCCCTTCACCTTCTCTAGATCTTTTCTCAGATGTCACCTTCTCCTTGAGATCTTCCTTGACCACCTTCTGTAATGGTACGACTAACATTCATCTGTTAACTTCCCGTTAACTTCTTTCTTAGCACTTATCGTATCATTACTTAACACACTATATAGTTGATTTATCTGTCTTACTTATTGTCTGTCTCTCCTCTCGTCCAGCAGACCACAGGCTTCATGAGGGCAGGGGCTGTTGACTACTTCATGCTTTGTATCCAACACCTAGGAGAGCTCTTGGCACACACAGGCTCAGTAACTATTTGTTGAATGAATGGATGGATGGATGGATGATTTCAGAGCACAGCCCCTGACCTGGCATCCTGGGGACTCTGTTGATCTTCTTTCCACAGAACTTTAAGGGGCTGCCTTCCAGTTTTTTGAGGTCTCAGACCTTCAACAAATATTTCATCTCGCCTCTGCTCTGTGCTCAGCGTTGGGAGCACAGCAGAGAACAAAACGGTTTCCCTGTCCCCAGAGAGCTCTCGGTCTCGGGCTGGGGTTCAGATCACGCGCTCATCACACACACATGAAATTACGAAGAAAGGGGGAGGGCGCTAGGAACACGCTGGACAGGAAGTCTGACGTGGCCCCCGGAAGTGAGGTTTGAGGCGATGAAGGAATAGGCCTTAGCTCCATTAAGAGGTAACAGGATGTAGGGTCGGGGGGGCACCTAGAGGCCGAGGGGGAGCCAAGGGCTGCACCACGCAGATGCTGAAGGAGTTTGGGTCCTTACGCCTGGGGAGTGGAGGTTGTAGGGAATTCTAGGCAGTGGAAGGAGGCGTTTTCAGTTACGTGTGCTGAAAGGTCCTCTGGCTGTTGCGTATGGAGTTAACTTTAGGGGCTGAAGGACTGACGTAGAGACCCGTGACGAGGCTGTTAGCATGAGACTGACACAGCTGGTACTAAAGAAGGCCGCACGCTCTTTGCTGTTTCTGCCGTCAGGAGGTGGAGTCCCCTCCCCTTTCACCTGGGCTGCCCTGTCATTTGTTTGGACCAGTAGAAGGTGGTGGAAGTGATGCTGTGCAGGCTGGGGGCCCGGGCCACAAAAGGCCTGGCAGCTCTGCTCTCACTCCGGGAGGCCTGGGCCGCTGTGTGAGGGCGTCCAGCTACCTGGCTTGAGAGAGACGCGGAAGGAGAGCTGTCCCGCTGTTTCAGCTGAGCTGCCAGACGTGAGTGATGCCGTCCTGGATGTTCCAGCCTGGTTCCCAGCTGAAAACATGTGGAGTAGAGACAAGCCATCCCGAGTCACCTCGCCCTCTGCGCCTTGCCCAAGTTACAGAATCGAGAGCAAATAAACGGTTGCTGTTTTAAGCCACTGTGTTTTGGGATAATTTGTTATCCAGCAATAGCTGACTGAAACAAGCTAACGTTTTTTGAGATCTTACCATTTTATGTGTTGGCTCATTTAATCCTCATGGTCAGCCTGTGTGGTAATGTTGTTACTGCCATTATTCTGATGAGGAAACGAGGGCACAGAGAAGTTAATGAAGTTAACTTCATTAGCAAGATATCCTGGCACGTCGTCGGGCTGAGTACGTGGTAGCTGCTGTTATCAGCATCGTTTCCTCTGTATTAAAATTTCTGTGATTGTTACAGAAGTGGTAGGAGGGCAAATAAAAGCATTATTAACCCACTTACGAGTGGTATGATTTTAGATATGTGACTTCACCTCTCTGAGGCTCAGTTTCTTCACTGTGAAATGGAGAGTATAGTACTATTCATCTCACGGGGTTACTGTCAGGAGGCAGGGTCTGACAGAGAGCAAATACCTAATATATGGCAGGGATGATAATTACTATGAAGCATGCATCCAGGTTGTGTGGACAGCGATCTTAGCACCACAAGGATGAAGCCATTTTCTTGGAAGCCCTACTGGAAAGACAGAAATGTCCTTGGTGATACTGGTGAAGTGCTGGATCAGGCCTTACCTGAAGTGAGATTACTTCTGGACTTTGTCATTAGGGAATACAATAAATCTTTTTGCATCATTTAAGCCATTAATTTGTATCATTAGTCTTTTTGTATCATTTAAGTTGAATCAGGCTTTCTATTACTTGGAACCAACATCCTAACTGATTCCACGGTTTTATTCATTTATTTGTTGATTCGTCAGATATTGAATACTTACTCCATGCCAAGCACTGTTTCAGGTGCTGCTGTTATAACAGTAAACAAACCCCTCAAAAGCCCTGTCCTCATGGAGCTTACGTTCTAGTGGGGAAGGTGGGTGATAAGAAAATAAATATTGATGATAAGCTTGAGGGGAGGAGGGCTGGAGAGGGACAGAGCTACCATTTTAGGTGGAGGAGTCAAATAAGACATCTTTGAGAAAGTGTCGATGGAAGAGGACCTGACACAAAGGGAGGAAGCCAGCTGTGTGTATATTTTGGGAAGAAGGACATTCCAAGTAGAAAAAACAGCGAGTTCAAAGGCCCTGAGGTCAGCTTGGTGTGTTGGAGGAGTGAACTGGGCCGGAGTGAGCAGCTGGGAGGGGTGGAGCCGAGGGCCAGGCACGCAGGGCTGGCTGGGCCGCCAGAGGACTTGCAGTGGCTTCTCAGTGAAAGGACAGGCAGTCGGAGCCTTCTGAACTCCACAGTGCTGCGGTCTCGCGTCGCCAGCTGCTGTGTGGGCTCCAGGCTGGAGCGGGACTCCAGTGTGGAGGCTGCCACACTAGTGCAGCTGAGGGACGGTGGCGGCCTGGCCGCAGTGGCCGCGGTGGAGGTGGGGAGACACGGTCGGAGACTGAATGTAGTTTGAAGGAAGAGTGGGCAGGATTGGGGGGCATAGGCGTGGGGTGCGGAGGGGGAGTCAGCGACCCTTAGGCGTTTAGCCTGCGCCGGGAAGGAAGGAGGCCAGGAGCCGCGGAAGACTAGGGCTGTGGTGTGAGCCTCCCAGTGGCCTCGCTGGGCCCGCAGGGCGGCCTACGACGCTGGCATTCAGGGCCCAGGTCTGGGCTGGAGATGCAGATTGGGAGTCACTTTCATCTTCGTAGCGTTAAGGCCCAGGATGAGGTTACTAAGGAGGGGAGTGTAGATGGAAACGAGGTCAGGGAGTGGGAGCAGGGGCCCGCGAGGCGGTGCTGGAGCGATCCAGGAGAGAGATGGCAGTGGCCTGGAGCAGGGCGGGGCAAGAGGGGCAGTCGTCGGGAGATGCTGCGAGGGCAGGTCCCCAGCAGCCTGATGGTGGGTGAGGACGGTCGGCTGGACGAGGGCCTCGTGAGAATGGGACAGCGTTGGGACATGGGGCAGGGGCTCTGCTTTCCTCCTTCCCTGGGCTCTGTGCTCTCCGCCTCTCGGGGCCTCTGCTGCTTCCTCTGTTT